GTGGGGAAACGCGCTACCTTTGACACCATTCTACGGAAAGCAGACTACTCAGTAGTCAACAAATAGCAAACCTCTGACGACTGTGGTGTTCGCGAAGAATCAGTGTCAAAGGCTCAGAAAGCCTTGGCGTGCAACATCTATCTTAGATGGGTGCATTGTAATTGTGACAGTGGTTTGCCAGGACAATACTGCAGCTTTATAAGGAAGCACTCATATAAATGGATGTGGAATGTGCCCAGGGTGTCGGAAGTCACCTACTATCACCACCGGCAGACTGGAAAACCTGGCACAGTCAAAAATATTACAGGGCACGGGCTCCAATAATCTTCCCCCAGAATGTGGTAAGGCTCCACCAGTGTCCGAAAAAGCCATCCCTGGAGACGGGAAGGTGGACCGAAAGCACTGGCTATCAGCCCGGATATTCCGTGCTCTCAGAACGAGGGAACGAATTTCACTATTCTTTTCAACATCCCTATACCAGCAGACTCAGGCTGAGAAAAAAGGGAAAAGTCCGACAAAAGTAGAACGACTACTGCGGAAGGTTGGGAATAGAAACCATGACGGCCAACTTATGCAGGCATGCCCGAGGAAGTAGATCGCCTAGAGTCAGACCCAAACCCCTCAGGGTGTCAGCAATGCCTGCGAAACAGTCGGAGAACATACGGTTGCTGCTGCGCCGACCAGGCATTGCAGGCTCTTGCTCCATAGGGGTGAAACTGGACAAACTTTGTGTCACCAGAGAGGCGAAGAGAAAGTCCTCGTTTAGTGATCTGCACAAAGCTGCAACCATGGTGGTGCATGGAATACCCGAACTGGCCGGCGGACCCAAAAAGTGTGATAATTACCTCCATGATGTCGAGCAGTGGGCGGTGGTTAGCGGCGAAAATGGGGCTTGGAAGTTCGCAGGCAGCCGCGTAAGTTGATTATCGAGACCCACTCACTTGCAGAGCACTTCCTCACCAAGATTACCAGCCGCACGCTTTGACTGTAAAGCATCACTGACAGAAGCTCTCACTGCACGGTGCCGTTTAAAAGACCACATAGGAAGTGCTGTACGATGTTGTGAGAGTAAACCACGAGTTGCAAGACTAGAAGATAGAAAGCAACCTCCGAGAACACCACAAACGGTAGCAGTCAGAAAAGAACTAGATAGTGAACTACCTGTAGGCACAATAAATAATACCGTCACACGGGCAGCAGGATGCCAAGAGGGGCCAAAAACGGAGGCCTGCCAGTTCACCAAAGATTGGCAGTCAGAATCCGGCGCAGCGAACCAATAGCCCCCAAACAAGTCCTTATATCTCGCTATGCCCAGAACGTAGTTCCATGACATGCCTCTACAGCGATGTAAGAGGTCTTGGAAGTAAGCTACCGGAGCTTAAACCAATGTGCCATGGGATGCAAGCAGATATAATTCTCATCGCGGAGACATAGCTGTCAGCAGACATTGTGAATGAGGAAATATCTTCGCCTAACATGACCCTGTTGCGAAAGGACAGGCAGTTCAAAGAAGACAGAGGAGTCGCCATGTATATTAGCACTCTTCCAGAAGTCGAGGAAGCGACTGATGGTGTGTTCAGCTTACTACCAGACTCCTTGTGGTGCCATTTCACCACAAACCGAACAAGGTACCCATCAGAAGTGGTATAAAGGCCTCCTTTTGCACGGCAGGGCACAAGGCACAATTGGTCATTGCCGCTTCAGCAACCACCTTGGCAGCCCGCAAAACATACAGCCCTCTCTGGAGACTTCAAGACACCGGTACTCAAACCGGGATGTGAAGTGATATGTGGGCATAAACCTTTCGAGCGCAAACTTCAAAATAAGTCTATGGCAGCAGGGCTGATGGGGAAGGTTGGGGAAAACACCAGTCAGGGACTAGATGGGAAGGAATCACCACTCAATTACGCTCTAGCAAACGATGATCTTTTGATGGACGATATCTGTGTTCAACTCCCCTTAGGTAAAAGCGACCTCGCATTGGTGGGATTCTCTCCGATTACCAAAGAGACGTCACCAATAGTTGAGCCAGAGGCATTCAGCTGTTACCGAAAAGCAGACTACCATCCGATGAACAACGAATTTCTGGGGGCTGCATGGCCACAAGAATGGCACTCACTATCTACAGACGAACACCAGATATACATATCAAAGATATTATCCGGATCACTGTCGAAAGTGGTGTTCCGAATTAACCAGACGACCACCTCTCAAAAGGTCTTGTGTAACTCGCGCAACCAGGAGGCGAATGCAGATGAGGAAGAAAGTATATTATCGGTGGCGTACATCACACAATCAGACCTTCATAGCCGCGAGACGTTATGCAGCTTGTGTATATGGGAATTTGTATGACAGGTATACATGCCAGAGCAACCTGGCCAAGCAGTTAAGTTGCAATCCAAAACGTTTGTAACGGTTTATGTCACAACGCAAACCAATGAATAAGGGCCTAAAACTTATCACAAGGCCGGCCGGAGAACCTATGAACAGCAGTGGGATAACGGAACCACTGAGCAGTCGATTTGACCAACAACTTAACCCAGTAATATATCCACTACCAACATCCACCAATGTAACGAAGTTCCAGGACTGCGATACATGGCTGATGAACACAAAGATTTCGCCAAACCAAGTGTTTGCGAAACTTTCAGCACTGAGAATAGAGAAGTCCCGAGGCTGTGATGACGTAAGACTGGTTGTCCTAATCAACTGTGCCGAAGTGCTAAGCATACCCATATGCAAACTGTTCATGCACTCACTGGAAGCAAGTCAACTCCCCAAAGGATGGAAACGCGCCACCCTCTCACTAATCTTCAAGGAAGAAGACCGAAAACACCTGTGCAGTTACAGACCAGTAGCGTTACTTCCCATACAATCCAAGGTACTGGAAAGTCTGGTTGCAGATGTCGGTTGGGGCTGTTTGAAAGAAATTAATATCGTCCACCCCATTCAGCATGAATTCAAAACCGGGCGGTCGTGTGCCACAAACCTGACGACCGCTTGGGATGACTTGACCACTTGGTGGGACAACAACCAAGCAGTCCGCGTTATCTTTTTGGACTTGGCCAAAGCTTTCGATACCGTCCCACACCACATTATGCTCGCCAAACTAGCAAAAGTGGGTATCGCTGAACCACTTCTGGCATGGTTTACAGTATACTTGGAGGACGGAGAATTCTGCACTAAAGTAAACAGAATTTGATTGACCTAGAAGAATGCAGGAGCAGGAGTTTCTCAAGGTGCGATCCTTGAGCCACTCCTATTTTTAGTATTCATAAATGACCTCCCCATTAAAATCTCATCTATTCTTCTATTTGCGGACGACATTAAAATATGGAGGACGACAGGTGACGAAGAGGATCCTAGGATACTCCAAACCGACCTGTTGCAACTGTAGCCCTGGTCAGCTGCAAACGGTTTAAGCTTTAACCTTGGTATATCTTTGCACACCAGAGGCGGTGAAAACTGGCTACACCCTCAACAAGCATGCAGTCACCAAGGCATCCACAGAGAATGACCTAGGACTAAGCTTCTCCGACACACTGTTTGCTACTGGTAATTATGAGGGAATGGCAGCCAAGGCGAGCACCATTATGCACTTCCTAAGAAGGTAGCTTTGACTGTTAACGCCAGAATTATTCTTTACGGTATTACAGACCTGTGTTAGACTGCGCCTATGGGTGTTCAACATGATGGTCCCTTACCACTAAAGAGGGGCGCAAATACTCTGGAGAAGGTATAAAGAGCAACGAAGTCGGTTATCAGGCCGATAGGCAAAACATATGCGCAACGTCTCAGACAACTCAACTTGTGCACACTAAGTTATCGGAGAAAACGGGGTGATCTGATAACGGCCTACAAGATCATTCACCAGGGGGACCACCCAAATGGGACAGTGTTGTCGGTCCAAAACCGACAGTCTCGTGGGAACCACACTCGTGTACCCCACCATAGGGCAAAGGCTAGAGTAAGATCTAACTTCCCCTGCAGAACATGTACCTCATGGAGCGCTCTGCAGAAGGAAGTGGCCATGGTAACGTCAGCTAATTCCTTCAGACGACTACTGGATGAGTATGTGAGTGCAAATGGCCTACCACGAACATTTGTCGGCAGCAACTGACGATAAACCCATCTATCCTTTTATCCCCCAACCCTATTATCTGCAATAAGACGCATCTCTCCGCCATATTATTACCAGTCACACTTATCTTTCAAGAAGTACTTTTCACTCCTTTTTTTCTCATCCCCCACCCACCCTGTTCCTATCACTTTTAAGTGGCGCTTAACACTTGTGGGTGCCCACAAGAACAGGAAGTGAGAACGGTTGATTGATCTTATCAGGAGCTCTATTGCCCCCCCTAAAACAAACCAAGCTACAATTTGCAAATAGAATAATCTCAAATAAACAAACGCTACTGGCAAAACTATAAGCAGAAAAACGCTAAGACTTCTGTGACCATCGAAGGAGTACAAACGAACAAAAAAACCGAGCCTCAAGTCCTAGAAGCAAGAGCTCGAAAACTAAAAGTCTCCTCTACTCACACTATTGATGTTGGATTTCTTATGAGTAGTTTGAGAATGGGAATGCTGTGATATGAGTATTGGTAAGCAAGGGTCAAATGAGGGGACCAGTCTATAGAATGATTTCGAACGTTGAGGGGAAGCAAGTAGGAGCTACATCGACTTTCAACGCTTAATACGCATAAACCAAGCATCTCTGACTTATTTCCCGACGAACACGAAGATATATCATGATGCAATGGAAAGCAGCATCGCAATTTGATTTTGTTCACATTTTAACTAAAGCGGGTCATATTTGAAAGGCGTATGATGAACAAAATTTGAGCCTGGAATGTAGTTAGGTATAGTCTTGTATAAAACCCGCTGAAAGTAAGCGTAAAGATTGCTTCATCATCTTCCGTTTTTTTAATGTACATCAATTATGTAGTAACATATGTACTTGTTCTAGGTCAGGCGCTTGGATTCCGTAGATCCATTGGATGGCTATTTCGCAGCGCATAATTTCGCTTGTTAAGGTTGGCCGTTAAAATTTGCATTTACGACTCTTTTAATATATTCAGAATGGCAGAACCAGTCTATTTAGTCGATCATTTAGTTCATCACCCACAGTGTTTGCCACTAAGATGACGGTTAGAGACGCTCTCAATTCTGCTATGCGTGAAGAACTGGAGCGCGATAAAGACGTCATCATTTTAGGTGAAGAAGTCGCCCAGTATGATGGAGCCTACAAAGTTTGTTGTTGCTTTATTGTCTCTAGTTATCTAGGTCACCAAAGGTTTATGGAAGACGTTTGGTGATAGTCGTGTTATGGATACACCGATAACAGAGGTATGTAGTAGTATGTTATTGCTACTAATACCTGCAGATGGGTTTCACTGGAATCGCTGTCGGGGCGGCCATGGCTGGTCTTAAACCTATATGTGAATTTATGACGTTTAATTTCGCTATGCAAGCCATAGATCAGATTATCAACTCTGCTGCAAAATCAGCATACATGTCTGCTGGGTTGGTATGTTAACTCACCATTTAACATAAGTTTTAAATGTCTAGTTTTTACACGAAATGTTAAAATTGACACTTGTTTCATAAGGATAATCCATTTTCTCCCTGTGGTTATCTGATGTGCTTTTAGTGTGCGTTTAGTAAAAACCAGAGTTTTTGTATGACAGACCTTTTCACTACCATTCTCATTAAATTAATAACGCCTTAAGAACCTTCATCTCCTTGTGAAATACCGTAATTGCAGTGGTCTTATGGTCTTTTCTAAAAATCAGTGTTTGAATGTCAGTAAAGAATGATAGCTATTAAGTGGCAACCAGGAAGCGATTTTCAGCACCAGCATTACGCTTACTCAGCAACATAATTTTGCGAAGATCGAGTGGTGTGTAGATATTGTAACCGTAGCTATTTTTATAGACTGAAAAAGTAGGATAGTCTTTACTCATCCATCAGGTTACTTAGATATCGATTGGGTGTGTTAATCTGGAGGTGTGTACGGGAGAATCAAATAGGTAAGAATAGTCAGTTTAATATTTACTTCTTTCAGTATATGGTAGTTATGATGAAGACATGGAAGCGTAATTCTCACCCTCAGATGCGAAGGTCTAGGTTGCTACGACTACTAAGTTGTGTGCACCGAATTACGGCACTGAGTATTGTAAGGCTAAGATGCAAACTAAGGCAGATACTACATCAATTCATGGGTTCACAGACTATCCAAATGAAGTTTTCCCGAATGAAATCTTTAAAATACTCTAAAAGTAACGAGAGATTATATACGACTTGCTTTTTTTGGTATCTATTCATGTTCACCTTAGTATTTATCGTGTGAACACAGTGGGACTCTATCATGATAGGTTTCACTACTGAAAAAAGCAGCAGCACATAATACACATGTAAAACTTCGTGAAATGACGCATCGGTCCAAATGATCACAACACGAAGACAAAATAAATCACAATCGGTTGACATTAAAGTGAACAGAAAAGATATAAGAGGAAAAATAAAAACGCGGGAGTTGACATGATGTTCCCAGTTGGGAAGAATCCATAAAGTAGATGTATCCAGATCATTGATCTCATCTGAACAGTGTTAATAAGAAACCAACCATTGAGTCGTAGGAGTTCAGTCAACATAGTCTAGAGAAACAGACTTCATGGGATCGCATTACTTCGTGTCTTCGAGATGTATCACTAGAAACAGAGTTTGTCGTATCTTTGTAATGTCTTGAAATTGTAAATTGCAATAACCAGTGATTTACAGACCTCGACCGTCGTAGAGTGACACCAGAAGTACTTTGTGGCCTAAGTTTTCTTCTGGAGGTATAAACTGAAAATCTCAGTGAAGAATATCAATAAAAGAATGATTAGTTACTCGTTACGAAAATAGAAAAAAAATGGCTGGATAGGCGTTCCCGTGTTGTAAGTTGAGTTGAACTAATAATGTACACTGTATCATTAGATTCTACACGTCGTCATTACCTGTCACGGATTGTATTCAAGAAGTCAATTCTAGAAGATTTCAAATGTTGGTACTGCGTTGATATTATTGTAGTCTTAGCGAATGCAACTTATTCTCTCGAAACTTCGTTGATGAAATACCTACAGCTTCTACTGCCGAAGACCATATGTCAGAACCATCTAGACATCCTACCTGGAAAAGATGCACAAAAAGCCGAGCGAACTATTTTTCTGCACCAAAACATTAAAAACAAACAGCTTTGAGAAGTGCTGAACGTAACACAGTCTCCACGTTAACTGTCAGTGACCAACCATTGACAAGGTAATTTTAAGTTGAAAAGGTCGATAATATTTGAAACACTTTCAAATACGCTTGTGTGTAGCAAAACATTGTTACCGAAACATCAATTTTTGCACACTAAAAAGTGCTTCTTAAAACCGGCTGCTTCACGAAAGCAAGACAACAAGCTTTGCAGAGTAGGACATATTAATAGTCACCCTTTTCTCAGCCTATACAAGCTAAGACATACAGGTTTCAGACATGTAATCTACATACCTTGATATCTGAGATAAAGATAATCTGTGTCAAAAAATGATCACAATTCACTGCTCAAAAACAACCTTCGTATAATCAAATTATTATTTTGATACATTCCAGAACTGGGATGGGAAAGATTACTCAAGTATATGTGGTAAGTCAGTAATGTAACTACAAGATTAAAATTACAATGGATTAAGGTCAAACCAGTCTGCATCAAACAATAAACTGTGGTGATGAAACAGAAATTGATTTTCTAATCACTTTCAGAAAGGAGAATGTAAAAAGATGGAAGTTGGGAATTGAGAACCGATGACTGCTTCCTTTCTAATATACAGCTTCGGTTTAATTATTTGAATAGCACTTGCTTTTACGATTGTAAACTAACATTGCTAAAGGAAGCAACTGGTGCCTGTAAGCACTTCAGTGAAATATTCATTCCGAGTATAGAATTAAGAACTAACTGCCAGATTTCAACTCAATAGTAAATTATACCATCGAACGAGGAGGTACCAAAAAACCTTTCAGGACCTCGTTTTTGTGAACATATTCATTGAAAACTTATAAACGTCTCCCCATTGTCTTCTGATCTCACGGGGATTGATCTATTCGCAGGAGAGAGTATTTGGTAGGTCTAGAATACGCAGATGACACAGTCCTGTTAAGTAAAAACGCTAACAAGATGCAGTCTTCTGGACACCTTGAGTGGCAGTTTGAGAATGTTTAGGATGCCTTTCTCGCCACCCAAATGCAAATTGTTGCTCCAGGACTGGTCTTCAGCAATTCCTCGGCTGAAAATAGATAGTGAGGTGGTCGAGTGTGGGGGCACCGAACTTGCCTGAGAAGAGGGATCAGCCCTGATGGATCAGTGGTAGATGAGATCTCTGCGTGGATACAAAAGGCTTGACTGACATTCGCCAACTCACACCATCTACAGAGTCGTCACGATATTCGATTGCCTATCAAGGGTCGAGTGTACTGTGCTCCAGTTCGCTCTATCATGCTGTATAGCTATGAAATATGGCTATTAAAAGTAAAGGACGCAAGAAGGCTTCTAGTGTTCGACCGCCATTGCCTTCATAGCACAGGCCGTGTTGTAGTGCCACCATGTCAGTAACCCAGAAGTTAGGTGTAGAGTTTTAGGGATGAGATGGAAGTCAGTTGATGTGGTTGCGAATTTTCATCGACTGAGATGGCTGGGAAATGTTTTAAGCATGTTTAACCATCGTCTGGATAGTCGCGCAATGTAAACTCAAGTAGGTTCAGACTGAAAAAAAGGTTAGAGGCGGGTGGACTAAAACATGACATCATTGCATGAAGTACTTGGCTGTTGCTGTGAGCCATGTAGGGAAATGCATACTATCCGTTTTAAGTCCTTGTGACAACAGAAACCAGTGGTTGGAGACTAAATGATATGGCTCAGAGTCGGCATCAGTGGTGCAGATGTATCCACACATGATTTCCAGCTAAATTCGGCATCTTCTCATCCCTTCTTCTCTTTTACTGATTCCTACTGTTTTTGACCGATTTTTTTCCCTTTCATCGTTATCTTATTACTTTGTTACTTGATGTGCCTAGGTGAGTTGTGGTAAGTTGGACCGTTGCGCAGTAATGCCTGGTCCTATGTTGACATTGATGATAATGATGATGATTATAAATGTTATGCATAAAGCGGTTAAAGTCTTAAAAGTCTCGTTACCAGACATCTGATGGATGTGACACATCCAGATTTCAAGAACAATGAATAAAATAATGAAAAAACACAACAGTGGTAATTTGCATATGACGGTAAGAGCAACTGCTATTGAAATGATTAAACCGAAGTTGCATATTCGAAAGGATTAGTTTTAAGTATTAAAAATCCTTCCATTTTCTTTTTATATTCTCCTTTCTGAAAGTGATTAGAAAATCAATTTCTGTTTCATCACCACAGTTTATTGTTTGATGCAGACTGGTTTGACCTTAATCCATTGTAATTTTAATCTTGTAGTTACATTACTGACTTACCACATATACTTGAGTAATCTTTCCCATCCCAGTTCTGGAATGTATCAAAATAATAATTTGATTATACGAAGGTTGTTTTTGAGCAGTGAATTGTGATCATTTTTTGACACAGATTATCTTTATCTCAGATATCAAGGTATGTAGATTACATGTCTGAAACCTGTATGTCTTAGCTTGTATAGACTTGGAAAAGGGTGATGAACTTCCATGAATTTATATTCTACGGACTGAAATGAGTAGTTCTAGGCCGCTCACATCTATCAACAGTCCTCGCTAGCCAAATCAAAGTGATCGAACCAGTGATCAGACGTTTCACTCGTTTAGGGCTGAGCTCACCAGCTATGTGCTTGGATTTATTCAGCTCATGCAGTCGAGTTGTTCAAGCTACTCGAATTCCGGTTAGCTACTTGAACGATATAGGACCGTAAAATTATCTCTTAACGCACAACGTTTTTGCTTTACTCAGAACTGAATATTCTCATTCATCTTGACTTTCAATTCAGGTTGTCAAAAGATATAGGTTTCAGTGCTAAAAGTCTCAGTCAATGAATCTATTGTTGATATGAGTGGTGTAGTGAGTTGTGGCCTTCCTGGTTAAGTTCGGTGAGATAACCTTAATCGATTGCCGAATGTTTCTGACACTAAATGGAAATAGTCGCAGTGGAGTTAACGTGTCTACGATGCCTCTTCATCTAATTCCAAAACGTTAACTTATATGACTTTTGTCGCCTCATTTCTTCCTACAGCTCTTGTACAACTACCGATGCGGTTATTTCTTTTTTCTTGTTGACTTCTATCTCTACCTGTCAATATGCTAAAAAAGCGAATCGGTGACTGTACGAGTTACTACATCAAACGCATTTATTGTGTTAGAGCTGTGACACCATCCGGTTGCCAGACTTGAATATTAGTAATCAATTACAAAATCATGACCTGCTGATTAAAATTTGAACGCCTAAGTTAGTAAACTACAGCTTAAAGCGGGTGAGTATACTTGTCCGACACTGATAAGAAGACTTAATTACATCATCAACTCAGGAAATCCCAGATTAATCTGTATATTTCGCTCTTGGAATATTTTGTGGAGTCATTAGTAAGCCGGATTTTCAATTTGGAATCACAAATCTTTTTTCTCTTGCTATTGTGCTATAAGTTCTTACTCTCACTTTTAGGTGTCTGTCCCAGTTGTCTTCAGAGGACCAAATGGATGTTCCGCTGGGGTCGCTGCTCAGCACAGCCAAGATTATGGCGCCTGGTTTGCTAGTTGTCCTGGTCTGAAAGTTCTAGCGCCTTATAGCTGTGAAGATTCTCGAGGTCTTTTGAAAACTGCTATACGCGACCCGGATCCAGGTGAGCTGAAACACTAGTTTTTCTGGGTAAATGCTTTAAATAAGTAAGCATGTCAGGTCTCACTTTCAGTGTGATATCAAACTGGGACTGTCTACTACTGAAGTTCAGGTTTAGTACAGTAGTTAAGTCAAAGAGACATAAAGACTAGTGTCCAATGTAGCACCACATCTCGAAGTTACTACTCCTCAAGGCAGTATAATAAGAGAAAATCAAGGGGACAAAAGTACATTCTAACGAAAGATATTAAAAGATAGGGAGTAAATAAGTGTGAATTGATATGTTGAGGATTGCGGAGATGATAAGGAGTGATCGATTTTAAGTCATGACACTGGAGCTCTCCAAACATGGGTTTCGAAAATCGTAAGGACATTGAACAGGTGGTTGACACTGATCTATGCTACCCAAACCGACCAATAGCTCCATGAATTTATTGGTCTAGCAACCTTAAGCTTCCTATGTGTCTTATTTCAGTGTACTTGACGTGCTACGGTAGATAGTAAATCACCATGTGTAGCATATGTCGCAAGAATCTCCGTCAGTGGAGGTTCACAATCTCAACTATTAACTTTTCTACCTTTTCTAATGCTTCCGAGCTATCCCCAACAATATTCGGTTTATGATTCCTTTGCATTTTAATAACGCTTTGTGAATATCGAAGATCTACAGCTTCATTTTGTCTACCGTTGACGACCGTTGCTCAGCCATAGAAGATTAAGAATATTCACTGTTTTAATTTTAAATTTTACTGTTATAACGTTCCGAAGACTTAACTAGATATGTTTAATATGGTACGAGCTTTGAATAATATCTGGTTTGGTCGAGCTTATTTTGAGCTCCAAAGAGTAAATGGAATATCACTAGTTTCACGACGTACTTTCTTTGTAAGCAAAACATTTGATAAGTTTTGTCGAGGAAATATGGCTTTTATGTTTAGGTTAGTTATCAACTAAACTGAAGACAGGATATAAACTTGCAAGCGAAATCGACTATTTAATTTTTGTACAAACCATTGCTCTAAAGTTCCGACCTTCCATCTTCAGATTGTTTATTCTCTGATACAACTTTGTCTACTTTTTTCCACCTGTACTTTGTATACTACTCTGAACTGTGCCAACTTGAAGTGATGCGTTTGTGTGAGAGGTTTTAGTTCTATTCTACCTGTCTGTCTATTTTTAAACTGGGTGTTTGTACATATCTATTCTACAGTGTCATCTTACATCTAGCAGGTAAGAAACAAGAATCTGATATGCTTGAATGTTTGCTCAAGTTATGTTTAAGACCTCATAACATGCTAGCATTTTAGCCTTTTTGAACTATGTTGTGTGCGTTCTCCAAGAGCGTAAGGTGAAGGGTTGAAAATAAATGAAAATGACCCAGAGCCACCTACTTGGGTACGCTTTTGACATATTTAAGCTGAAATAGTGATATTGGGCATCTCTGTTGAACTACTTGTTGTAGGTTGTTACAAGGTTGTGTGAATGTGTATAGAAAGCTTTACTTGACATTCCATTTATAATCAGTTATTAGTGCAAGGATTCTCGATCAACCGAATAAACTGTTTTACTTTTGAGCTAGGGAATATCATGATTTCTAGATTTGGTTAGCATTCTTGTTTTTGTGATCACAAGTGCGGATTCGAGAAAATTGGGAACTGAAGCATACAGAAAACCAACTCATACAGATCAATTCCTCAACTACATAACAAATGGTTATTAAAGGTGGAGGAAATGAGGAGGCTTCAACTGTTTGACCACCATTGCCTTCATAGCATAGGCTTTATGTCGTGTTGTCATCAAGTCAGAGATATGGAAGTCAGGTGTAGAGTATTAGGGAGAGGAGGAAATTCAGTTGAAGTTGTGAACTTCCATTGTCTTAGGTATCTAGAGTATGTGCTGCACATGGCTAGTCACCGTCTGCCTCGTTGCAGTGTTAACTAAAGTCCCGACTGATAGCTGCTACCTTGATGTGGTGGTCGGGCTTTCATATCACAATGACCCAGTGAGCTATGCTGGTGGAACGCTTGTTCCCTCGAGGTCCTACCATACCAGAAAGGTCTGTTGGATAGTGGTAAGATGAAAAGCAGTTACCGTTGTGATGTTAATTGCTACACTATGATTGGGGGTCTGAAGGCGAAGTCGTACTGCTGCTAGCTGGATGGGGTGTGACAGCAGTAAGGTGCTTCCCTTGGATGACCAGCAGTGCCATGCTGATGCTGCCTTCTCAGTGGAAGGAGGGGTAGAAAAGGTCGGCCCCGAAAATAACACACCACCATGCCCCACGGTCTGTCCGGCCGGTGGTGTTGGTTCATTTATCGTTTCTTTTCGACCATCCGGCCCCAAAAATAGAAAAGTTCAAAATAATCATACTCAAAAGGCTTCGTGTGACAGGCCTCAAGCAGATGTCTGATGGGCTCTGCGGTCACACAAATCTCTTTCAGGTACCTTAAGAAGAAATAGCCTTCCAAGGTGTGGGCAGCCGGGAAGTGTCAACCGCCCTCACAACTCAATCAGCACTCAAGTTTCCTCAGACTGCTATCCACCTCCCCCATCATTATCTTCTAATCTTCCTTCACCTCTCTCAACTAACGATACTACATCATCTTCAATTTCTCCTAGCTCTTCAGCCTTTGGTCTCCTTAAACCACGCTCCAAATTACATATTGGAGCCTTCAATGTCCGCACCCTCCGTCAATTTGGTCAACAGGCCTCGTTGGCAAAGACTAGCAAGTCCGGCCATAGATGTGTGCTGTGTTTGTGAGACACGCATACAGGACCCAAGTGCGGTTATTCATCTGACCTCTCCTGACCAATCTGGTGAATCCGCAAAATTCACCCTACGAGTTTCTGGAGATTCAATAGCTATCTGTCGCAGTCTTGCAGGTATAGGCATAGCATTAAGCACTAGGGCAGAAAACTCACTACTAGACTGGATCCCAGTTGATAGTTGTCTCTGAGTTATCCGACTGAACGGCACAGTGAGAACTAAAAGGAATAATGAGACTCACCGTTGTCTCTTTGTAATCTCTGCTTACGCATCCACTGACTGCAGTTTGGGTGAAGTGAAGGACGGGTTCTACCGAAAATTGTCTAGCCTCCCCTCGAAAGCCAAACGTTCGGACGTGGTGATTGTTGCAGGTGACTTCAATGCACAGGTGGGTAGACTGAGTGAGGCAGAAAGGCATTTAGGTGGCACTTTCGGAATCCCATCTAAACGTACAGATAACGGTGATCGCCTACTACAACTGTACTGAGATAACCGCCAATTTTTAGCTAGCACGAATTTCAGAAACGAAGAAAGATACTGTCTGACATGGTGTCTACCGAGCTCAACTCAGTGATGGACACAGATAGACCATATTGCTGGAGAGGATAGGTGGAAGACTGCCACTCCTTCTGGAGTACGTATTTGGATAGCGAACATGCGTTGGTCTGAGCGCGTATATGCCTGCGTCTCAATGGACGTAAGGAAAATCCGGCAACAAAACCACTACGAGTGCTGCTGGACAAGGAAAACACTGAAGCCGTGTTCAGTGAGAAGTTGGCTAGGCAGTTATCGGAACCGAAGACTACCACTCATCCTTAAGAAGCTTGGTGCCATCTCCAGTCTGGTGTAAAAACAGCGCTGAAGACCGTAGCCGATCCCGACAGAGGGGCTAAAAGGAGCCTGTGGATATCAGCTGCTTCTCCCGAACTAATGGATGCACGTGAACGCATCCCTGCCTGCATGCTCTGAGTACAATGAAGAGCGAGTGCAACTAAGACGTAGATTGAGAAAAAGTCCACGCAACGACAGCAAACAGTGGTGGGCAGCTAAGGCTAAAGAGATGGAAAAGGCAGCGGCAATTGGTAACAGTACACAGTTATTTAGACTTATTAAGGGAACTGGGGGGAAAAGGTCAGCTATGGTTAGTGAGTCTGTAGCAGAGAAGGACGGGTCTGGGACTCACTGATAGGGGAGACGACTGGAACGATGGGCAGAACACTTCGAGGAACAGTTTAACTGGCCTTCAGCCACCATTGAGTTACCCGCTGTCCAGTCGGTTCCTAAATGGAACATTGAGATAGACCCCCTAACACTTGCAGGAGTCTAGAAAGCGGTAGGTAATCTGAAAGAAGAAAGGGCGGCAGAACCAGACAGACTTACTCCTGAGGTATACAAGGATGGTGGTTAACGGAAGTGTTAACCAGTATATGGGAAATAAATAAGATCTCTGTTTGGTATGAATCACTGATTATTCCAGTCTTCAAGAAAGACAAGAAGTCCTCTTGTGATAACCACAGAGGAATCAACTTGACGAACATAGTGTTCAAGATCCTAGGTTTTATAATACTTCGACGCCTGAGTGGAGCTCGGGAACAGCAAGCCTGAGAAAACCAAGCAGGCTTTAGACCCAACCGCGAGTGTATCAACCAAATATTCACACTGCGCCAGGTTTCGGAACACAGACACGCTACCGATGCTCGACACTGGCTGTATTTCTCTACCTGAAGGCGACATTTGACTCCGTTGATCGAGAAGTCTTATGGCAATGTCTGTCACTGAAAGGGGTACCGAGCAAGTACATCACCTTATTGAAGGCTCTCTACTCGAACACCTGTGGGCGCGTTAGAGCCTATGGTGAGATGTCCAGGGAGCTATACTCATCGAGTGGTGTCAGTCAAGGGTGCCCACTGCCTCTATTCTTATTCAATTTCATCATAGATATTCTTATAGAGGTCTCACTCTCGTCACCTGATTACACAGAGGTTGACCTAATCACAGCAGACTTTTGACTAAACCTGGAATATGAAGATGACATAGTCCTGTTAAGTGAAGACGCTGACAAGATGCAGAGTCTTCTGAACACTTTGAGTGGCAATTTGAGAATGTTTGGGATGCGTTTCTCACCACCCAAATGCAAATTGTTGCTCCAGGATTGGTCTTCAACGGTGCCATGGCTAACAGTAGAGAGTGTAGTGACTGAGCGTGTCGATCACTTCACTTACCTGGGAAGTAGGATCTGCCCTGGTGCCTCAGTGGCCGATAAAATCTCTGCACGGATACAAAAGACTTGACTGGCTTTTGCCAATTTATACCACCTATAGCTCCGCCGTGATATCCTTTTGTCTATTAAGGGTCGCATGTACTGCACAGCAGTCCGGTCTGTCCTACTGTGTGGCTATGAGACATGGCCGTTAGAAGTAGAAGACATGAGAAGGCTTCAAGTGTTTGACCACCGTTCCCTTCGTGTTATAGGCCGTATTCCATGGTGTCATCACGTGAGTAATGTAGAAGTTAGGAGTAGAGGTAAATCAGTTGACGAGGTTATGAACCTTCATCGACTAAGATGGTTGGGACACGTACTACGTATGCCTAGTTGGTGATTTCCTCGTCACACAATGTTGGCTGAAGTAGGTTCAGGCTGGTAGGAAGGCCCGAGGTGGCCAGACTAAAACATGGTACCAATGCATGAAGTCTCTGACTTGTTTTGAGCCATGTGGCGCAATGCAGACTAGGTGGTTGGGGTCCGCGGGACTAGAGGAACCTGTGGTTGGAGTCTCTAGGGGATATGGCTGGGAACCGATATCAGTGGCGCATATGTATGCACACATTATGCTCATCTTAAGGACGCTATACCGAATCTCACCATTTCCTCATTCTTCCTTTCTCTCTCCTCATACTTTGTACTTCTTTTGACTGAATTTTCTCATCTTCATCTTGCGGTTCACTGCCTTTTTGCTTGATGTAGTGATATGAGCTGTAGTAACTCGGACCGTTATGCAGTAATGCCTGGTCCTATGTTGATATTGATGACGATGATGTTGACTAAAGTAATTGTTGACCGTAAAATGGTCAGGGGCGTCATCAGTCTCTGAACTCTCTAACTGCTGGTCTGAACCGGGTAGGTGAATTTAGACTTCCTGGTTGGAGTTGCCGCAAAGTGCGAAATCGATGGTTGGCGACTTTGGGTGATATGGCTCAGAGTTAATTTCATTGGGACAGGTGTAGCCACATATTATCTTCATCGTGATTGTCATGCTGAATTTCGTTATTGTCTCATTCCTTCTGGCTGTTTTCACGACTTTCTACACCTGATTACTTTCTTCTTTATTTCCCTCTTTCATCTTAGGGCCTTCTCGCTTAATGTGGTGATATGAGGTTTGACAAGTTGGACCATTGCGCAGTAACACCTGGTCGTATGTTGATATTAACTGACTAACAGCTGGAAGGGTTCTTTAGAGAGATAAATTCATCGAGGAAGTAAGGGATTGCTTGTACTCCTCAAAGTATTCACTCATGATCACTTTATATGGATACTTAGGTTTTTTGCTAACAAGAATTGTATTTATTTCTCGTAATCTGAATATTGGTTAACTAGACTAAAAGAATATGTCCATGAACTGTATTCGTGGGAAAAGGTTGTATGAATTCAAAATACTTTATTATTTTAAGTCCAGAATTATAAACAGAACACCGCACCTTGAATTATGGTGGTGAGTAGCAATACTGATTTGTCGTCATAGAAGTGTAGAAATAGCTGTGTTCATTGAGTTGTTCGCTCAATATATATTTATTTTGAAATATAGGAAACTATCCATTATGAACGAGATTGACAGTTTTTTAATTTCAAGCGAGAAATTGCGTAATCAAAGACTTTCTTTTCTACTTGATGTTTTGTTTTTGGTAAGCTTTCGCATCGACATAATTATCATGTAATTTTGATACTGATTACCCCTCATTATAGTTGTTTACCTGGAGAGCGAATTATTGTATGGACAGTCATTCGATGTATCAGATGAAGCATTGTCTCCAAACTACTTGATCCCTATTGGTAAAGCGAAAATTGAACGACAAGGTAACCTTACCTATTATGTCTTTCCAAAGTTTTTGATCAGTACTTACGTGTATCTGATGCATTTTTCGATGTCCATTTCGAACTCAAGTTAACTGAGAGAAGAACTAACATATATGGTCATTGTCGTTATAGTTTTTCGACCGACTATGTAACTTCTAAGTCTAGGAACCAATGGGTAGCTGTTTTGCTATAGTTTGAACTCCTCAGCAGTGAGCACAACTCCACGCGGGAGTAAGCTCAAGATTTCTATTTCTTACAATGAGCAACTTGCCATTAGGTAACCAGGTTGGAATCCAGTAGTACGTTTTTTCTAGATAACCTTGATTTTTGGTGTAGAGCAAACACCACTCAGTGTCCTTGGTTAACATTTATCTTCAATCCTGAATTGACTAGGGGGCCATGATTAACAGTTTTTCCTATCATTTTGGGGACTCATACTGAATCCGGTCATTAGGTAACAAAACATCATACTCGGTCAAGCTAGCTGCCTGGTACTTCCTAGTTTTTTAAGTTTTGTAGTTGATGTGAGTCTACGATGGAAATTACCTTGAAATCAGTAAATTCTAAACAAGTCGCTGGATTTATAATGTCATAATTATCAAAAGAGAAATCACGGTCACTTTTCATAAAGCTTAGTTCCTATTGTACCACTATTCAAAAGGTGAGACAAGGAGCTGCAACACTGATTCCGTTTCTGAACCATATTTGGTTGTTTCAAGTCACCAATTTGCATAGTTTGTAGAATCGATTTCAAGGAGACTTGCTGCACTAATGGATACGAGTTCATGACAATCATCATTCAATCTCACTGCATCATGTCACCTTCTGACTTCTATTTCTTTCATCCACATAAGCTTATTAAAAAACATGGGCAAAATATGTTTGAGTTACTGAAGCCAGTGCTTCAAAATGATTATTGTTATCGAATGATCATCCTACCGATATTCAGGCTGCTGAACTACAGACTCGTTTACATGATGTATCCAATGCATTCCAGCGGTGCTGTGTGTGGAGTAATGATTAGACACTAAGGTCTATCAAATATCCTGAACTCCAAGAAGTTAGGTTCACTGAAACAGCGGATAATCTCACGGTTAGAAGTAGTGCATTGAGCTTTTATGGTATATCATTAGAACAGAGGTGTTATAAATCAACCAGATTGAATATATCGATTGCACTTCTAACATAGCGCAAGGAATCTCGTTTGTCAGATGCTCACACTTTCAAAACCATTGAGATGAATAATCGCGACTACTTCTAATGGTTCGTTATAAAGGGTGTATGCAAATGCAAAGTTCTGCATACTGAAGATTTATGTTTCCAGGTTACGAATTGCCTCTACATAACGTTCATGCACTTGCCTTAGTGCAGGTTCACTTTTATCGATGAACTAATTCGTGAGTACCACTCATATTATACCTGAGATTTTTTTCCTGTTGGCTATCAAGGTGTCAATAAAAATCTCAGACATGATTCTCTATCCCTTTTAGAGAGAAGTGTCCGGGAGTGGTGTCTATGAATACGACTGTTAACCCAGACTACGTATGATGGTGTTTAAACACTGCAGAGAGTGAATACGTAATTAATCGTTCCATAACTCAAATAAAACTTCGTCTACTCGTTAGTTACATTAATGGTATTCGGTTACTAAGTAAACTGACGATTCATTTTCTCGTAACGAATGAAAATATGAATATGAACCGAGTAAAAGTACCTTTTTTTACTTGGATCATTATTATTCTTTCTAATTTGTAAGACCTCATTGTTCTGCATCTGAGAGTGTTTAGTCACTGAATTTCATTTTCAATAGTAGCACTCAAAAGCATTCAGCTGATAAGTTCAAGATAGGACGAAATCCTTATATAAAATTTCGCTACTAATTATTGACAGAATTTGGTTTTAGAAATCTTCCACAGATAGTTGTGTTCAGTTGAAGGTGTAACACTTTTCTTGCTACAAACATTCACTGAGTACACAAATAGTGTAAAAATAATAAGGAGCTTTTATCTGCAATCTTAAAAAAATGACACAATTCCTTTCCTTAAGGCTGTGTGACAAGCCTCAGGCAGATGCCGATGGACTTTGCAGTCACACAAATCTTTTTCGCTTTCAGGTGACTTAAGAAGAAATAGCCTTCTGCAGTGTGGGCAACCGGAGAATGTCAACCGCCCACACGCTTCCAGTAGTACTCAAGACCCAAACAAATACAACCTGTCCTCCTCAACTCTGTCCCCCTCCTTCGCCCTCACCTGATACTAATATGAAGCCTATTACACCTTACCCAACCTCTCACTGTACGACCATTGGCACCGATCAAAGCCATCGGACCCTAACTTGTATCCTCATAAAACCCCGCCATCGATTCCATGTAGTAGCCTTCAAGATCCGAACTGTGTGCCAAATCGGACAGCGAGTATCTCTCACCAGAACTCTGGAATTTCGAGTCATGGATATATGCTATGTCTCTGAGACACGTATACATTACTCAAGTGTGGTTATTAAACTGACTCCATCAGGCCATAGTAGTGAATCTTCAAACTTCACCGTACGAGTATCCAGAGACCTAATGGCTAGCTCTCGTGGACCCGGTGGTGTAGGCATAGCATTGAAATGTAGGCTGGAAAGTGAGCTCCTCCACTGCATACCAGTCGACAGCCGTTTATGTGCTGTTTGACTGGATAGATCTATAAAGACTAGACGGTGCCCATTCATAATCTCCACCGTCATACCCATCGATTGCAGTTTGTATGATACAAAGAATGGATTTCATGAAAAGCTATCAATTTTTCTACAGAATGCTAAACCTTCAGATGTAGTCATGGTAACAAGTGACTTCATCGCTCAAATAGGGAAGCTGAACCAGTCGGAAAGGCGTCTTGGAGACGTTTACAGAATCCCATACCAACTAACCGATAACGGTAATCGTCTCCTGTAATTTTGTTTTGATGATCCCTTGTTTCTGGTCAGGGCTAACTGTAGGCCTAAGGAGAAACACCGTCTCATATGGCATCCGCCGACTTCAAATCAAAAACGGACACGGATAGATCACATTGCTATAATCCATCTTTGGAGAGGGTCGTTGGTGGAGTACCGCTCTTCCTAAAGTACCAGTTTAGACTTCGATCATGCGCTAGTACGGCCTCGTGTATGTCTACGCTTTCCTGGTTACAGGAAGCAGGTGATAGTAACACCTGATTATTCTTGATTTGAAGATAAGGACGCCATGTACGTATTTAGAGAAGAGTTAGCTAATGATTTGTCTAATGGTGGCAACGATGCTCATCCTGAGAAAACCTGGCTTGATATTAAGTCTGTTGCAGAAACAGCTGTAGAGAAAATTGGTGACCTACGCCCGAAGATTAGCAAACGTCATTGGATTTCCATGACGTCATCCGAACTGATTGATGTGAGAAGACTGACTTCACCTGGCTGTAACTGCAATGAAGAGCGAAAGACACTTTAACGTAAATTGACCAAGAGTCTTCACAACGATAGCGAGCAGTGGTGAGTGGTGAGAGCGAGAGTGATCGAGAAGATATCAGTGTTGGGTAACACTCGGCAAATATCTCGGTTTATTGAGGATACCTGCTAGAAGTAAATGATGGTTAGTGAAAGCATTACCGAAAAGGATGGTACCGTGATAGCCTCCCAGGACATATGTTGGTCAGAAATCTGAGTATGTTGGGCATGTGTTTTGCTGGCACCTGTCAAATATAAGATGATGCTCCCGAATCGGTCTACTGCAAACTCCTAGTTTAATGATAGAGAGTAAAATGGTGGGATGTGTCGACCACTCCACTCAGTTGGGGAGTTCGATCAACCCGAATTGACTGGTTGCGGACGAAATCTCAGCTCGGATACGGAAGGCCCGTTTAGCACTTGCCAACAAGCGTCATCTCTGGTGTCGACCGACGAGATATCCGACCATCTATGAATGAACGAGTATACTGCACTGCACTGTAGTTCGTTTCGTCCTTTTATACGGCTGTGAGACATGCCTGTTGAGAGTAGAAGACATGAAATGGTTGCTGGGTTTTGATCACAGGTGTCTTCGCACCATTGCTCGCGTATGTTGGAATCACGATGTGAGCAATTTTGAGGTCAGGCGAATGGTACTAGACAAGGCAGGCAAGTCGATTGATGAATTCGTGAACTTTACTTAGTCTACACAGGTGGCTTGAACATGTGTTGTGCATGCTGAGTCACCACCTGCCTCAATGTGCCATGCTTGGAGATGTTGGATTAAATGTGTGAAAGCAAGGCTCAGAGTGGTCAGACCGAGATGTGACAGTATTGGATGTAGTCCTTGACTGTTGGTTTGAGGCATGTGAGGATATGTAGACTAGCTGGCTGTGATCCGTCAGACGATAGGAATCAGTGAGTTGAGGATTCTTGATGACATGGCTGAGAATAGACTGCATTGGCGTGGATATACTCTCTCTGATGTATTCCAACGCCTGAATATTCGGAGTAATTGTTATCTTCAGATTGTTTATTCGCTGTTACAACTTTTTCTACTTTGATACAACTCTTATTATATCCACGTGTATTTCGTGTACTTCTGTGAATTGTGGCAACTTGGACCGATGCATCTGTCTGCGAGGTTCTACCTTGGTTGTTGTTTTGCTTTTAGGTAAGAGTAGTCGATACTTCTGAAGGAATTGATAAAACCGCTTAGCTGTAATAAAATTTTTCTCAACCTCATATTATTATATCTCAATCTAAAATGTAACTTATACATAAGCAATGTTCACTATTTTTAACTACCTATAATTTTTGTCGGTTGTTCAAGCCAAGATTTTTGTATTAAAAGTAGCAGTGTATCGTCTCTTTCTATACGTCATTATAGTCTTCTGTGCTTTTCTCTTACTGTTATTGTTTCGATGGGTTGTCTAGCGATGTAGGCAGCAGTTTATGGTCGATAGACTATTGTTCAAGGTTTTGCATTGCTCAGTTTCCCTAACCATTTTGCATGAAGTTAAAAATCGTTTGTCATTAGTTTTTGTATAGAATTGTTCATAATTTTAATTTGGGTGGTCTTTGTTCGACTTCTTGAAGGTTAATTTTACTCTATTTACTACGTGACATGCACCAGTTAACCTTTCTCAGTTTGAACTTGAATTTAATATCAAACTTTTATACTAGGAGTGGCTGAAATTAGTTTTAATATACCTATGGAGCACTGCTGAAATCCGGGAAAGCAGCAGGACCGGATGGAATTCCACCAGATGCACTGAAAACAGACACAGAGACAACAGCGGACATGCTCACACTGTTGCAGAAGGTTTGGAAGGAAGGAAAGGTACCTACAGATTGGAATAAGGGCTATCTGGCCAAACTTCCAAAGAAGGGAGACCTAAATCTATGCAAGAACTGGCACGTTATTATGTTGCTGTCCACCCCAAGCAAAATATTAAGCCGCTTCATCCTGCAGAGACTAAAGGATGCGCTGGATTCAAAATTACAACCGGGAAAAGTCTTGCTGGATTCAGGAAGAATAAAGCATGTGCGGACCGAATTGCAACGCTACACAACATCATAGAACAGAGCGTAGAATGGCAGTTAAATCTCTACCTTAACTTCATCGATTTTGAAAAGGCCTTCGACAGCGTCGACCGAAAAGTAATTTGGAAACTGCCTCAACACTACGGAGTACCACAAACCTTTATCAATCTCATTCAACAACTATATGAAGATGCCACATGCCAAGTGATTCACATTGGAAAGCTCAGTGACGCCTTTGAAGTAAAGACAGGAAGAGTAAGACAAGGCTGCCTACTATCACCGATGGTCTTCCTGATTGTGGTGGAGTGGACTGGACTGGATCATGCAGTAGATAAGACAACTGTGAGGAGCAAAAAGATGGGCATACGCTGGGTGAACCGATGACAAGACCCTAGAAAATTTGGATTTCGCCTCCGATGATGATTTATGTCTAATGTCTAGTAGCACAAACTCGAAGATCTACAATGAAAAACCAAAAAATTGACAGAAAGGGCAGCGAAGGAAGACGGGACTTCAAGTGAACGTGGAGAAGAAAGAGGTGATGAAGATACCCAACCAACAACCAACAACAAGCACGAATCACCATCAATGGGATAAATCTAAAGGAAGTTGTCTCTCTCACCTACCTAGGCAGGCAGCATCGTTTCAACTACAGGTGGCCGCACAGATGAGGATGTCAAAGCAGACAAGATCGGGAGAGCAAGCAAGACAGGCCCTCCTTCATTAGTCTGAAATCAGTATGGAGATCTGCTGCACTGCACTGTACTCAGCATAAAGCATGAACAAGATCCGGATTTCCAACACTAAGTCGGTCAAGTCAGTGCTTCTATGTGATGGTTGAGAGACTTGGTGCGTTACGAAAAGCATTTCCAAGAAACTATGGGCATTCATCAACAGCTGCCTACGCTGGCCCGATACTGAAGATCAGATGGCTAGAATAATAAGAATAAGCAAGGAGGAACTCTGGCTGGCTGGCTGGCTGGCTGGCAACGAGCCAACCAAGAACCCATTGCCCAACAAATATGCAGAAGAAAGTGGAGATGGATTGTATTGGGCATACACTGAGAAAACTATTTGGAGACATCACGCGTCAGGCCCATGAGTGGAATCCAAAGGGGAAACGAGTTGGACGTCCGAGGTGAGAGTGACATGGAGTAGATCATGTGAGGAAGAAATGAAGACTTGTTGGTTCAAGAGACTACAGAGAACAGAGTGGAATGGAGGTGTGCTACTGAAGCCCTATGTTCCACTACGAAGCCAGGGGACAAATAATAATAATATCTCTGGAGCAAATATTCTCAAAATTTTCTATATGAATAGGTAGAAATGACGAAAACAATTTTATTCTTGTTTTAAAATTGATTTCCCTTTCCTATAATCTAAATGATTGATTTTTTCATCCCTTACATTTTTTATTTTAGGAAAAGATGTTACTCTTGTTAGTTACAGTCTGGGAGTAGGTACATGTCTGGCTGCTGCAGAAGAATTAGCGAAACTAGGTATCAGTGCTGAGGTATGCACAACTCGTTTTACACTTTTTATTTCCGTTCCATATATGCTTAATGTTTTCCTTAACTTTTCAAGTCATTAATTGCTTGACTGGCTGGTCGAGATTTTACAATAAATCTCATTTACTTTTGGACTTCATATAACATTAGTGCCGTGTATGTAGGAACAATAATAGGATCAAATTTCTGATACAGATTGAAGCTATACGTATACTAAGAATGCTGTTATTGAAAACTATCAAGACATTCGACTATCGATAGTTGTGTTACAGATTTGTTCTTTATCTTTCTGATATATATATATATATATATATATATATATATATATATATATATATATATATATATATATATATATATATATATATATATATATATATATATATATATCAGTCTGATAAACGTGCTAACTGCAAGCTTTCATCCATTGAATGTAGTTCATAGTCTAGTATACAAACGCGCACTGAGTTGCTAAGCTGTACTAATTTTTGCATTTCTTCGGGTTATATTCCTCTAAGATTACTGGTTTTCATAAACTGTTACTTTCGCTAGCTTATCATAGTAAATAATTTAACCAATTGACCAATTTCAAAAACTGGATTCCTTTCCACTACTGCACTTGCCGGTCTATTTTCATGCATCCTTAAGCAAATCCACATGACGGATTTTAGTTACCACAATAAAAAAATGGTTTTTTTCTAGAATGCTTCCTCGATGTGAACAGATTTGCTTTGTTAGGTATATTGATACAAAACTGTAATCGTCTTCCACTTTCCATAGTATTGTTTCATGAAACGTTTCGACGAACAGTCAGACTCTAAAGCGGTCTTTTTTTTCAGCTCATTTCTAGCCATTAAAAAACTGACAAGTTTGCTTTTTGTTTTTTCCCAATCCACTGTAAAGCATATTAATAAAGAAAGTATTTACCACCCAGAAACATGTAGAACTAGCAAGTTGGACCGTGCACAGTAATGCCTAATTCTGTGTTGTCTTGCCTCTGTGTGTGTGTGTATGAAATGCTCAAAAGGCATATGACAGGAAAGACAGTGAAAAAATAAGGGTTAGTAAAATGTCCTGCATTCGAAACACAGTAATGAGTGATCAGTTTGTAGCATTATCACCAATTCATCAACAGTTGATCCTCAACATCTCAAGGACCCCATGCAGACAATCTCTTTTTCCGCCTACATGACTAGATTGAAGCTCAAGGACTTCACATATTAACCTTATGTCCTAGAGGAGTAAACGTTCAAAATTGGTTTGAAGATCTCATAATATGATTATGTCGGTGAATACGTTTGACGTAAAAATGTATCATTTGTAGAAGGACACACATTTTTTTGAAAGCCTCTCTCGATACTTGAAGTAATTCATGAAGTAAACAGTGACTACTAATAAGAATACGAAATCAACGACGTTTCTTGTGGAGTAGTACCTGAACTGCTAACTGTCCGTGAAAAAATAGACCCTTAGTGTATATTTATAACCTTTCACCGCCATAGTTTGTGCGTACTGATAAACAAATATACATCATTAATCAGTATTAAAAAGCCTGTACCTCACAAGCTTTTATAACTGAACGATGTATATCAATCGTAACCTGAATTTGAGTTTCAACATAATCTTCATTTCTAGGTGATTAACTTGCGTTCCTTGCGACCAATGGATGAAGAAACAATATTTAATTCGGTCAAAAAGACACATCATTTGGTTACTGTAGAAAATGGCTGGCCTGTATGTGGTATTGGGGCTGAAATATGCGCTCGCATCATGGAGAGTAAGTGTAACACTAGGGTTGTAATCATTTCAAAGTTTATTTTTAATGAGCATTCCAAATGCTAAGTGGTTTAATTCTCTGTTTTAATAAGTCGATACATACAATTGGTAAGTTCTCATTGTTGTACACTCAAAAATATTCATCCTGAATGTGTTGCATTGCATACGTAAATTAGTTAAGCTTACGAAAGCCGGCCTGATTATTGAATTAGTATTATATTCAAGTGCCTTCAGTCGGTGTATTACTTAAATGTTGTTTCTAGTAACTATGGTTTTGTTATGGGACTGATGCTGATCGAACACAATGAATTTTTGGTACATTTAGCTTGGATGTTTTGAATATAAAGTTGAAGTGCACGAGCCGAAGTGTTGCGCACCCAACCATTAACAGTCAGAAAAGGATCATGATGTTCCCAGTTTCAGTCATCATTTGCGTAAACTCCATAAAGTATTTCTGTCAACCTTTTGATCTTTGTCATAATAACTGTGCAGCGAAACAGATTTGGCTGTCCAAAATGTCTCTAGAGATTCCGAAACATTTATTTATTGTTACTAGGTAGTTCTTGGAGTTTGCAAGCAACCTTACTTTTAATTTTCATTGCGTCTTGTGAATGTAGGTAACACAAAAGATTTTCTTGAACCGTCAACTAGTCTATAGTCTGACTAACTTTTATATCCATTGGGAACATTCAGTACAACTAGTTTCCTGAAATCTACCCATTTAAGACAATGGTTTTTTGACCACCGACAAAACTGGCCTACCCTGAACCTGGGATCCAAGCAGGTAGCCTGAAAAGAGATTCAGTTTTACCGACACCTGTCTGATGGTTGACTGTCTAATCAGTTTCATTTCAGACATAAGTGGCAGGGCTGATTATGTCAGCTGCTGTGGTAGTTGTTTCTCACCATGGATCACCCGTACCTTCATTGTTTTAAATTGGAAGATGTACCAAGATACCTAACCTTTACATTTCCATATGACGGCCAGTCTCTTTGCTCACTACATGTCTGCAATTATCAGAGTGTAAATAAAAATATCGAAATCTATTTTTTATTTCCGAATTTAAGTTAACCTCGTAACCGAACAGTATGTAAGCAATTGCTTGATCGTAAGAGGGATACGGAATATATGTGTGTTATTGAATGCACAGAGTTATCACGACCTGCGTAATCGTTGTAGTACTTCCTTCGATTTTAAAGCAAAAACATGATGTTGGCTCGTTTTTTTAAGGTCTTATCCAAAGAGAAAGATTTGTCTTAGAATTTGGATTTACTTGATGTTCTTATCTAGTAAGCAATCATACATCTTAAATTCCTTTGGAATTCCTGACGTCACTTATTCCGAAGAAGGAGATTGGTAAATTATCCTTTGTAAACTGAAATATCCACTACACCACTTCATATCGAGAACCCGCTCTGGTTTTTTTTAACTCATCGATAGAAGTGTTTGAAACTTTCATCACGTAAACTTTAATAATGGACACTGTCAACTGAGGATATTTTGAACAGAACGAATAATGATCACTTGACTGTATCAAGGAATTTTCGAAACATAGTTGATGAAACAAGTTTTATCAGAAAATAATGGAAAATCTATAAAATTTGTTCACCCTTTTTCTTTGAAATTAAAAACACGTGTAAATGAATGTTCTTTGTTTACCAATGATAAGTGATTCATTTTTGTGTGATCTAGAAGTGTTTCGAATTCAGAATGCTTGGCGATTAAGATGACTTTAATGGCTAGGTGTTTTAGACAAGTCATTTAGATGAGAAATAATGCAAAAGAAGTATTTATTACTTATCATCTAAAAAACGAAAGTGCTATGCAATAGTAGCAACAACAAATGCGTGAGAATGAAGTGGCACTTATTTATTACTTCCCGTATTGTATCATAAATTGATCATCTTGTTGTATTCAGCGATGTTTGGTTGTAAATGAAATTTTACGATTGTTTATTTTTAATCTCTCATTCACATATATTTTTCCCCAGCTGATACATTCAACTATTTGGATGCTCCAGTTTTACGAGTGACAGGTGCAGACATTCCAATGCCATATGCTCTTAATCTGGAGCGTGCGTCATATCCCGATATGTATAATATTATAACTACTGTGAAAATGGTAAAGAATGTACAGTGAACGCTCAATCCACAAGCAACTACCTACCTTTCTGTTTCAGTTGCTCTGCACAAGCTGTTAGCCTTATATAGACTGACTAAATTTTCTTTATGCCACTTGATACATCTCGATATGTATTTGTAATTTATGAATTTTAGTGTGTATTACTTAACTACTTACCAATATATCTAGTGAAATATGATTTCTTGGTTATTGCTAATATTACACAGTATCTCAGTTAGTTAATAAAATGTTTTATTCGAAACCAGCTTTATTTTTAGTTCGTCAGAAAAAAAGTCAAGACAAAATAAAGCCAGAACAAGACAAGCTTTAAATGTCTCATTCTAATTTTTATATTAAGAGATTTTAGTATCTTAAAAAAAACAGTAGAACTTTAGTTTTTTTCGAAAATATTCTCATAGTTCAAAATCTCTAGGAAAAGAAGAGAAACACAATCTAGAGTTTAGTGAATACTTATGGTTATTGAACAATTTTTTCTCGTTAATTAGTTATACATTATATGTTTCCTTGTGGCATTGTTATATAAACCATTTAAAGTGTGTCTACTGTTAAGAGTGTGTTCAACATTTCAATGGTATCGGAAGTTGTTTCCATCTGAATTGAAAAGCCTATAATGTGTTTAAATTGTTTACCAAATAACAGCTGGTATGATTGTTAACTTCTCACTGAAGTCTGCCGCTAATTTTTTTAGTGTGATCACTACGCTAGTGCATTATATATCGGTGTTCGGATTCGATTGGTGGCATTCCTAGGCATAGGTTACATGCACACTGAAACTTATCATCAAGGCATCTCTACAAATCTTGCTTGATTTGGATTATTCTGAAAAAGCTGGTTCGCTTTGCTTCAGTCGAATCAATTCAAAGTTGTATCATTCTAAAACTATAAAAATTGTAAATGCTTCTGAAAAGTATTACAAAAAGCGGTGTTTTGCGAGTGTATTCACCACCCACTTTTTTCATTTTATTCTCTCCGTCATTTTCGAATTTTAAAGACCAGTTCATATACCACAATAGCAACAAGCCATTTTGTTTGATCTCGCAAATTTTCCTTCGGATTTGTTGCATGCGTGCTTCTGGATTTAAGTGTTCTTACTTTACAAATAATCGGTTTGAAGCAGATCTTTTCCTATTGTTGTGTTATAGCGTGGTACAATCACCGTACTAGATTCTTATGGGTTTATTGATATCAATCGCACGTATATACACCTGTATGTACATACCAAGTTTTCATTAGGATGTACCTAACGATAGCGGCTACATGTATCGTGTTCAGACCACATTATTGGCTAGATTTCTGCCTGTAAGTAAATTCCATCGGAAAACCATGAAGTGATTCTCAGTGACTGGTATTATCAGCCAAGGAGATCCGAAATGGGTCAATTTATGACATTACATGTTTTTAACAGGAGAATTATATCTCAATGTTTAATAATTAATTGGTCTGACGTTCAGAAAGTCTGGTTAGTTCCTAGGTTTTAAGATAGCGTGTTAGTCTCTTCCACGAAACACGTGACTAATGTGAGTAACCTCCTATGCTTTCTTATTTGATGTACTTTTCGTCATTAATAGAAATGAAATATAGAGTCTGATTGAAAAAATTCGAAACTTCCCGCACGAAAATAAAGTAGTTTTTAAGGCTGTTATTCAGTACCTGCATTTGCTTCTTCTTAAGAAACATGGCAATGTTTTAAACTTACTTTGGGTTAAATGAAAAGATATCTAATGGTTTTACTTTAGCGGCAAAACCTGATGTGAAAGCACAAGGATATACTTTTTAATAGCTCGAGATGTACTCAGAAACCTTTGGCACAGTCATGCAGTAGACACTGGGCCACATATGTGTTGTGGGGGATAGTGATACTACCTGGCTGCCCTAACCTCGTTAGGTCGACTAGGTCTGAACCCGTGACTCATTAGTTGGAAGTCAACTCCCTAAGTCAATGAGCCACAGCTCCACTTTTTAATAGCCCTCGTTTTTAGTCATTCCTCCATATCAATCATGTAGTGGCGCATTTAACTTAAAGGTATAATATATTTCATCGGTACATACCAAATGTGCAACTAATATGTTTCTGTGCTGTGGATTTTCATTAGGCAATATGCAACATTTCCCACTTACGTAAAATTGATCTCTTCGTGATTCTCTGGATCTAGATCCAGCATTAATTTCTTCATCTGTTCTTCAGTGAACTGTATTCCAAGTTTCTGTAAAGTGCATAATATTTAAGAAAAATTCAAGACACTCAAGCTATAATGCTATTTATTTGCATAAAACTATTCACTGTTTTTTGATTTACAACGTTAACAGTCTTCGTACACAAAGGGGACGAATATCCACTTTCATCTGAATATCTGATGGCTTACGCAGATTTTTTTCTTTAATAATTAATAAAGGTAGTTGATATCTTGTCAGGAATAGTTGACTGTTTTGTTGTTTGATCAATGAACTTCAGCTAATTTGTAGATGTTCGTTTAACACTAGAAGACAAGTTGTTCATCTTCGTTAATTTTCTTTTAACATCTTGCGTCTCCTGTAAACAGTTTCTCCTCATTCATATAGGAGTAGAAATTATTCAATTTTGTAGAATATAGCTCTCAACTATGTGATCACATTTAAAATTTTTATAAGTCATCAGAGAGTGGGTACATCCACGCCAATGCAGTCTATTCTCAGCCATGTCATCAAGAATCCTCAACTCACTGATTCCTATCGTCTGACGGATCACAGCCAGCTAGTCTACATATCCTCACATGCCTCAAACCAACAGTCAAGGACTACATCCAATACTGTCACATCTCGGTCTGACCACTCTGAGCCTTGCTTTCACACATTTAATCCAACATCTCCAAGCATGGCACATTGAGGCAGGTGGTGACTCAGCATGCACAACACATGTTCAAGCCACCTGTGTAGACTAAGTAAGGTTCACAAATTCATCAATCGACTTGTCTGCCTTGTCTAGTACCATTCGCCTGACCTCAAAATTGCTCACATCGTGATTCCAACATACGCGAGCAATGGTGCGAAGACACCTGTGATCAAAACCCAGCAACCATTTCATGTCTTCTACTCTCAACAGGCATGTCTCACAGCCGTATAAAAGGACGAAACGAACTACAGTGCAGTGCAGTATACTCGTTCATTCATAGATGGTCGGATATCTCGTCGGTCGACACCAGAGATGACGCTTGTTGGCAAGTGCTAAACGGGCCTTCCGTATCCGAGCTGAGATTTCGTCCGCAACCAGTCAATTCGGGTTGATCGAACTCCCCAACTGAGTGGAGTGGTCGACACATCCCACCATTTTACTCTCTATCATTAAACTAGGAGTTTGCAGTAGACCGATTCGGGAGCATCATCTTATATTTGACAGGTGCCAGCAAAACACATGCCCAACATACTCAGATTTCTGACCAACATATGTCCTGGGAGGCTATCACGGTACCATCCTTTTCGGTAATGCTTTCACTAACCATCATTTACTTCTAGCAGGTATCCTCAATAAACCGAGATATTTGCCGAGTGTTACCCAACACTGATATCTTCTCGATCACTCTCGCTCTCACCACTCACCACTGCTCGCTATCGTTGTGAAGACTCTTGGTCAATTTACGTTAAAGTGTCTTTCGCTCTTCATTGCAGTTACAGCCAGGTGAAGTCAGTCTTCTCACATCAATCAGTTCGGATGACGTCATGGAAATCCAATGACGTTTGCTAATCTTCGGGCGTAGGTCACCAATTTTCTCTACAGCTGTTTCTGCAACAGACTTAATATCAAGCCAGGTTTTCTCAGGATGAGCATCGTTGCCACCATTAGACAAATCATTAGCTAACTCTTCTCTAAATACGTACATGGCGTCCTTATCTTCAAATCAAGAATAATCAGGTGTTACTATCACCTGCTTCCTGTAACCAGGAAAGCGTAGACATACATGAGGCCGTACTAGCGCATGATCGAAGTCTAAACTGGTACTTTAGGAAGAGCGGTACTCCACCAACGACCCTCTCCAAAGATGGATTATAGCAATGTGATCTATCCGTGTCCGTTTTTGATTTGAAGTCGGCGGATGCCATATGAGACGGTGTTTCTCCTTAGGCCTACAGTTAGCCCTGACCAGAAACAAGGGATCATCAAAACAAAATTACAGGAGACGATTACCGTTATCGGTTAGTTGGTATGGGATTCTGTAAACGTCTCCAAGACGCCTTTCCGACTGGTTCAGCTTCCCTATTTGAGCGATGAAGTCACTTGTTACCATGACTACATCTGAAGGTTTAGCATTCTGTAGAAAAATTGATAGCTTTTCATGAAATCCATTCTTTGTATCATACAAACTGCAATCGATGGGTATGACGGTGGAGATTATGAATGGGCACCGTCTAGTCTTTATAGATCTATCCAGTCAAACAGCACATAAACGGCTGTCGACTGGTATGCAGTGGAGGAGCTCACTTTCCAGCCTACATTTCAATGCTATGCCTACACCACCGGGTCCACGAGAGCTAGCCATTAGGTCTCTGGATACTCGTACGGTGAAGTTTGAAGATTCACTACTATGGCCTGATGGAGTCAGTTTAATAACCACACTTGAGTAATGTATACGTGTCTCAGAGACATAGCATATATCCATGACTCGAAATTCCAGAGTTCTGGTGAGAGATACTCGCTGTCCGATTTGGCACACAGTTCGGATCTTGAAGGCTACTACATGGAATCGATGGCGGGGTTTTATGAGGATACAAGTTAGGGTCCGATGGCTTTGATCGGTGCCAATGGTCGTACAGTGAGAGGTTGGGTAAGGTGTAATAGGCTTCATATTAGTATCAGGTGAGGGCGAAGGAGGGGGACAGAGTTGAGGAGGACAGGTTGTGTTTGTTTGGGTCTTGAGTACTACTGGAAGCGTGTGGGCGGTTGACATTCTCCGGTTGCCCACACTGCAGAAGGCTATTTCTTCTTAAGTCACCTGAAAGCGAAAAAGATTTGTGTGACTGCAAAGTCCATCGGCATCTGCCTGAGGCTTGTCACACAGCCTTAAGGAAAGGAATTGTGTCATTTTTTTAAGATTGCAGATAAAAGCTCCTTATTATTTTTACATTATTTGTGTACTCAGTGAATGTTTGTAGCAAGAAAAGTGTTACACCTTCAACTGAACACAACTATCTGTGGAAGATTTCTAAAACCAAATTCTGTCAATAATTAGTAGCGAAATTTTATATAAGGATTTCGTCCTATCTTGAACTTATCAGCTGAATGCTTTTGAGTGCTACTATTGAAAATGAAAATTAGTGACTTGTTTCATTGAGTCAACTCTGTGAATAATATATCATTTAGAATTGTCTGTCCAACTGTGTTGCAACCAATCAGACTTCTGTGATGTTTTACAGGCTACTCGTGTGTTAACCTTGACTTCACTCACCGCTGGACTTGCAGTTTAATCATTTCAAAGTTAATACCATTGATCTGTTGATATTTTTTTATTGCTCAACCTGAATTTGAATATGATTGCTTATAAGATGGTGGGTTTTCCGTCATTTACTATGGTAGGCTTTTCCTTTTGGAAACTTTTATGAAGCGGTGGCAGGTTTGTGTAATGCAGAATTATCCATTTACTGCCTTATTTTTTTTCATGTATAACAGCCAGATGTGTTATGCAATGGATGGTAATTGAAACTGGAAAAGTGCCATAAAAAACTAAATCCATTGGAAATTTGAACTAGTAGAATAGTTTTCCATCTTAATAATGATACATTTTCCAAGAAGGATTCACTAAAAGTTATTATTTAGAGTATGATAAGATAAAAAATTGAAAATTCACAGGTTTGAGTCTGAGATGCTCTTATTTTCTAAATGCTATGACTGGTTGAGTGATTTTAACTAACAGAGATCCAAGTCATTTTGAAGACGGAGAAAGTGCTTAACATTTGAACTTTGAGAAAGAATTAACACGATGTTTTCACCCGAAATGATGAGACACTAAGTATACCGCTACTAACATCACTAAGCTGAGGTTTCCATTCAACAAAGCAAGTCATATAGTTTTCTTGAATAATCATTGACGTTATTCGGTTCGTCTCGCAACTTATTAAATTGAGTGATCCGATGCCCATTGCAAGATTCCAGTTCTACTGTATTCTTTGTTACACTTGTGCGTTAAAAAAATGAAAACTTCTCATTATGCTATTTAAAATATATCTGAATTATAAGTAGATATATCCATACAATCATACACAAAAGGAGACCTGATAACTATATGACTGATGAGTTTTCTAAGGCTTACATCAGTACACTGTGGTTGACAAAGTTGGCAAATAATTAAATGCTTATGCACCACAATCAACATCTTAGCCTTGATATAAGATTAGTATGACTTACCATCATGTAAATCTGTTTAAATTGAAACAACAGAAAAAAAAGAGTCGTTTTTGGTATATTTTATGTATGTGTTTCAGAAAAGGAATACTATGAAGCCAAATTAAAAGTTATCTACAGATTATATAAAGACTAAACCACATTGCATAAAAACTAGAAATACGAATTGACTGTGTAGTATAAAATAGGTGGAGGTGAATTGATCAGATTAGTTGAGGCAGTAAATACCCAAAGAAAATTTCTTTTTCAAAAAGTGGCATTTTTTCTTATCGATTACTTGAATAATGATTAGTCAACTTAATTTAATCTTTTCTTATAAATATTTCAGTATTATTTATTTCCGTTGCATCGGGTTATTTGTAATTTGTCCTTATAGATTTACAAGGCTAGTGTAAATGTAACAAATCAGTTGAATTGATTATTAAATTCCAGCTGAAGATACTACTTTCCCCCATAGTGATAACGAAACGTTTGACGATTGGAATGTGCGAAAATACCTGAAGATCAAGGGATAAATTGTTACTACTGCATTAAAATTAAACAGTTACTCTTTAAGACTTTATAACTCATGAAATTTTCGCCTCTTGATTCGTTAAAAAAAATGACGCTAATTAATAATCAGCAGCAGTTTGTAAACTAACGTATCACTACTTAAATATAATTAGAAAGTTAGCTAAACGTATCCCTTGTAGTAAACTGTTACTACGGTAACCTGACTTGAGCTCACAAAACTAATTGTTCTCTTAAACGGAAGTATATGAGGTAGATTTCGAAATTATAATTCAGTAGCTGGAATTCGAACACTAACCAATTCATCACATTTCCGAAGGTATTACTGTTCACTAATAAATATAATTTCAAGAAATTTTTAGGCTTCATTAGCTTCTCAACCTGAAAATTATTTTTCCAATTGGCCATGAAATCATGAACATTGTTGGAAGATATTTTTTCACTAATCCTAAATATGCAGAAAATTGAAACTTTTTCTTATCACTTCCTCTTGTTATGGAGCTTGAAACTTTCATTTTTCATGAAAGGTAATTTAGTGTTAAGTTAAGGTAGTTTATTAGTCCATTGTTACCCCTAAAAAGAAGTTTAAATTGCATGTTGCTTGAAATAGATGAGATGTGCATTAAAAACTGTTCCATCAGCGCTTCATATAATCCGGAAGCCATAGTCATCCAAGAAAGTCTAATTATCCCATTAGTGGCTTAATTCTCACACTCATTTGTAGTTAACCTAGAAATAAGATACAAAAGACTTGAGTGAGCAGTAAGTGTGATCTGATGCATCTTTAAATCACTGAAAGGCAAGAAGTGAAATAAGCTTTTGTTCAGTTATAATTTCCCTTGATGAAGTACAGTAATAACATAGGTGTAAATAATACTAACATTTAGTTAACGTTCACATACTACTTTGATAAAGAGTAGTTTGCTAACTTGGAACAATTTTTAAAAAGGGTAAGATTAGCTAGTGAAATGTTTTCATCTGCTAATGTAAGTTGTAACAAAATGCAAATGATTATTTTACTCAATAAACGTTGGTAACAAAGTAGCATGTTGACTGATGCACCACAATTACTCGATCAGAGTTAATTATGATGTTGTAACTTCTAACATCTTATCGTTGAATGATCTGAACTGAATTGATTAGACACTGTTCTCGTGTACTTCTTTCCGAATATTGTAATGTTGTTGGTAATTCCAGTTTTGATATTGTTACTAGAGAAAGGACTGCTGTGGGATCTAAAACGTATTTTTCGTCTTTTTAGGAACCTCTTCACCTGAAAGCACTTACCTTTCGGTTGAAGACGCTGGAAACCATCAGCAGGCAATTCAGGCAACCTTATGTTTTCAAGTAGAGCATTTTTAAATTATGAGGTGAGCGCTTAGATCACTGCTGTAAGAAATATCTGAGGTCCAAATCACAAAGAGAAATGGAGTTTAAGGAAACTGCTAGTGAAGTTAGCCTTCGGCAATGTAATACAGTAGGTGACTAAGTAATATTCACAAAAAATCTCATTGTCATGCATACACTAAAGACGATGCTTTTTGTCGAGATTAACTTATTATTCTTCCCAAAGCCTTTCTTAGGATAGGAATTTAACACCCTATGTTTTACTTTGTCATGAATAATATCTTTTTTTGGTAAACCCAAAGATTTTAAGTCAGAAAATTCAGTGATATATTGTGCGTCACTGGTTCATCTCCAGTGGTTATAAGAACGATACATTTAGATGCTTTTTTCTCCAGTTCAAACTCAAGTTTCTTACAATGTAAATTAGACTTACATTTAAAATTTTGATAAATGCCTGTCTAGTAACAACTTTATCACCAACATTATCCAAAGGGCGTAACAAATCTGCAAGACTTTGTTTTGTACAACGTCCCATAGTGATTAAAATTTCTTTTGGACTGAATTCTGGTCTTCTAAATCGTGGTGACAAAGCTCGGACTTTATCATTTGTTGTTGGGCCACAACGTACACATAAATTTGGAAGTTTAACTCTAGCTGAATCTTGTAGATCTAAAAAGTCTTGATTCACTATAATATCCTAATAAAATTAAGGTGAAATATTTCAAAATGATCATTTAACATTACAAATAGAAAAGACAAAAAAGTTTTCAGTATTAATGTTAACTTTTGCATAAGAACTCATTGGTTAAAACATTTTGTTTTCAAGTAGTAGGCCCACAGATTAAAACCTTACTGTACCTAATTCGTCCTTGACATTCTTTCGGCTTATGGGAGCTCAGAAACTACATAGGGTTAATAGCTAGTACATAAACCGAGTGACTCTAAAGGTCACCCTAGAAACTGTTGAAATAAACATTTGGGTTCCTTAATATTACCTAGAAAGGTAGTTTTCACAAAATAAAGGGACCTAGTTGGTTATTTAAGTAGTTGGTTAGGTAGTTTATAGAATTGTGCTACAAACCAGTATGAGGTCACTGAGTCTCATCAGTAGCCTTGATTATTTACAGTTGCCAATTTATTGAATGATAACCATGAATAACAGCTTGACTTCTGTGATAGATTATGGTATCTCCATCTGTTTCACTAACTTGTAACCGAATGAGAAGTATGATTCTTTGATTCAAATCTCTACTTGTTGACTAATAAATTAATTTTATCAGTTAGCATCGGGAAGTATCTGCGGTGGACACCAATGAAACACTCAAACAATCTTAGGACAACTGTTTCAAATTCTCTTCTTTCTTCATTTCTGATGAATAAAAAAAGTCTCAAAAGCATTTACGTTTATGGAGTGGACAAAATGAATGTTGAATTCTTATTTTGTAAGTCATTTTTTGAGAATGACGATTTTTAACTATTCGTCTAGCTGTTCGAGCTTTTATATTCATTTTTCTTTCAGTTTCTGTCTTGATAAAAAAATTCTGCTCATTAAGTTCCCACTTCGCAAATATTGGCAGAAAACTCATCATTAATGAGTAGTGAAAAATTAATGATCATGGATTACGGTAAATTTTCAAGAACCGGTGAAATGCTCCCATAAAAATAAGACTTTAACAGTTCATAAATTAGCGGACTTCAACGAATTTTGAGTTCTCTCATTGGGTAATCCAATGATAACTGGAGTAACCAGGACATGTATACTAACCAAACCAGGAATATGTGCTATCTACTGTTGTGATGCTCCAGTTTTGTACAAAACATTGTTATCGATCCGAACATTTTAACGTGTCATTCCCACATTATTTTTACGGTATGACTAATAGTCTATTTCTGCCCCCATTGTAATGTAATTTGGTGATTGGTTAACTTTTACTCTTACTATGCGAATTTCTCCAATTGCGGACAAGGTCATTTCCCATGTGTATACTTATTCACGTGTTTTGGATTGATTCATTGTTATTATATTTTCGGAGTAATACACTCTCCCACCTGCCAGCTTCGGTCTTCTCTCTATTCGTCCCGAGGTTGCAGCCAGTGTCTCTTGCGTACCAAGTTAGCTGTCAGCTAAGCGCGCGTATATATTCGTTTTGGAATATATACATATACCATTAGCGGCTCGAACCCATAACACTAACATTTGACCTTTCAAATGAATATTAGTGTTCTAGAAAGTCATTTTGTGGATATGTTAGTTAACAAGAAGGAATTCATCGAATCTAAATCATGCAAACAAAACATAGTATTCCTAATAATAACGAAAGTCATGATACAACTCTAGACTTCTCTTCAAGTTTCTTTTCTATGCTTTAAGCTGCACCTTTTGGGTGAAGGTTATTGATACTGTGTACTTGATTATAGTCTACCCAGTAGGATCGGTGCAATACTTGTACTCCAATGGATGAAAGTCTATCGACCGAATTTACCAGGGACCGACAGATTTATGAAAGTAGAATAAGGACAGACTATCCATAAAAAACTACCGGTGACCTCTGAGTGGTATCACAAGTTCATTAATTCATCTTAGCAGGTTATATAATTTTTCTAACTTTCACTTATTGGTCAAATGGTGCCACATAGACACAATAAGTACAATATAAATTAACGAATTCAACAACAAAAAGTAGCCAAAAATGACCTGAAAAATAACATAACTAAAACTTGTTTGAAATATCTTTGATCTCGTTAATTTTCTGTGTTTAGAAAACAAATATGTATTTTTTGTCATCCTCTTACAGATATCTTCAGTGCATCATTTTCCAAAATATCGAATCCGCTGCTTGGAAGGAGACAAAAAGTCATCTTCTGGTTCATATGTAAAGTTTTGATCCATCACTATAACCTCACGTTTTTTGAAAACGACTGAGAAATTATTTCTACTTATGCTTGAACCTTCACTAAAAACTTTTAGAGATCCGGAACAATTTGCTTAAAAACACAGGAGAAGTACTTCAGATGCTTCCAATGTCTTGCATCGAAGTATTTTCTCTAGTCTCTAGTGTTAAGTATGTTATCTGTGCCTTAGATTATACATTTTGCTTATGCTTTGATTCTAGACCACTCTTGATGGATAACGTTTCCACTTCTCATACTGATCCCTGGATAACAAACTGGCTACATTCTTATTTTTATGAAAGGAAATAGTATATTGTTTATAAAGGGAAGCGTTCCACTGCATTGCTTACTGAAGCCGGTGTGTCCTATGGTGCAGCACTTTCCCCGTCTCTGTCTTTCTTTTTATATGGCTTACTTTATTCTTCTGAAACTAATTTTATTAAGCATCGTGATGACCTGATGATTTTTTTCCTAATTATCTTCCAATTAAATTACTCTCAAATTCTATCTTGTCTGAAATTGACTGGTGGTCTTTCTCAAACAGTCTCAAGCTAAACCCTTCTAAATGTTAGATCTTTAACTTTAACCTCAGGAGACAACAAGAATAGTGTGAGCTGCTAAGGTTTCATGAGTCTGGTTGTATTGATGGTATTACTGTAGGAAGTATTTCGGGCGGTAACTATCCTGGATTAAATTTTCCTTCTGAATTTTGTTGTTTGGCTCATATCTTGATGACATCCAAGAAAACCTTTCGTTCAACGTATTATATAAAGAAACTGAGTTTTTCTGGTATAACCCAACCTCTGATTTTACAATTTAATAATTCCTATATTTTAACTATTCTTTTTGCTCCCTGTTAATCTTTTCTGGTCGCATAAAAAAACTTTGTTAAATTGCGTTGGGCTTCGATAGCGTTCAACAGAGGAAACTGTTTGTCTCTGACCCCAAATGACTAAAACTGTAGTTGAAAAACATCTGAATACAAGCAGGCAACTAGTTACACTCATTTTATGTGATGCTGAACATTCAGTTTATTCACAGCTCTCTCCTCAGGGAGAACCAGAAGAAATTACTTAGGATTTTACTCTCATATGGCTAAATATAAGAATTCGACTTTGCCTTACATAGCAATTACTTTATCTGAGGAAAAAAGTGTTCCAGTAGAACTAACTTATCAACTTTGTAACACTCAATAATCAGTCTTTTCGATATTTCAACCATTCATAATTAAAGTGGCTGTAGTTAACACCATTTGAATAAGTGTTAAGGAGCATAATGTTTTGAAATATTATATGTGGAGAATTCCAAATTACATCAAAACTGTTTAGAATAAAATGATTATTATTCTCATTATAAATACTTTTATTATTATTATCATTACTATTATTATTATTATTAGTACTGACTTTGATAATCAGAGTGTTCAACTTAATTGACTCCTACCATATTCTACTCAAGAAGTCCACCGTTGTTTTAAACTATCCAGCAAAGAGCATTTTTTTTCGCTGTATATTGTGTGAGGGTGTTGACTGCAGCTGACCAATGGACAACATTGACATATCGCTAGTTATTTTGATCACAGAACGTTTCAAACCAAGTTTGCACAAGATTTCCCTACAACTTATTTTTGTCAATTTATTAGAAATATATATTTGCACATTGAGTGTTTGTAAATATTCATCATCATTTATAAGTTGGTTCTTTTCACAATCTACAAAGTTTTGGTGAATATAATTTTATTCATCTCTAACAGTTAGCCAATCAATTCTTTTGGTAGTATTTCAATTAATTTCTCTGTAATTTGTCTTATTATTGCCTCACACGATTTGTTGGACATTAAAGTGTTATGACATTCGATAAGGGTTTGTAGTACTTCATCTTTAGAAAGTAAGAAAATCAGGTACCTTATTCAAGGAAAACATTTTGTGGGCTTCAAGACAATTGTATAATAGTTCAAGGTTTGTGGTGATTTTATTTATTTAAAGGTAGCAGGCATCACACACTGACTGAAATATATAAAGTCCCTACAAACCTTAAACTACATTACTGTCTAGCGCTCATTAGTGATATGCTTCGAGAAGGATATCTCGCAGTTCTTACAAGAAGTAGTGACTTGCAGGGTCAACAAGTCGGAAGTGAAGTGGATGCCAACTAAAGGACTTAGTGTATAGTCACGCTGTATCATGAATTGAGAGAAGTAGGAGACTGTGAACTATTGAGCCCTCACCCACTGACTGAATAGATGAAGTGTTTGGAGCGAAAACTGAAGATTCTGAGTTTGATCCCTGAAGGTGTCGTTGGTGCTTGCTTTCGAGGAGTCTCACACCACGAATATACGGCTGTCAAAAACTCTCAGGTTTTCAGTGGTCTTTCAGCTAAGGAGTACTACACTAAATTTATATTATACGCCTCTCTCCGTAACAATTTCAAAAAAGGGAAAACAAACATTAGCACAGAATACGGATTCATTTTATCAATGTTTCAGTGGTTCTCCTCAGCTACTTAACACTTATTCTACTGTAACTAATTACTTTTCAGGTGCCATATTTTGTAATTGGCTGAATGGAGAGATCAAAATGCCTCAAACCAACAGTCAAGGACTACATCCAATACTGTCACATCTCGGTCTGACCACTCTGAGCCTTGCTTTCACACATTTAATCCAACATCTCCAAGCATGGCACATTGAGGCAGGTGGTGACTCAGCATGCACAACACATGTTCAAGCCACCTGTGTAGACTAAGTAAAGTTCACAAATTCATCAATCGACTTGTCTGCCTTGTCTAGTACCATTCGCCTGACCTCAAAATTGCTCACATCGTGATTCCAACATACGCGAGCAATGGTGCGAAGACACCTGTGATCAAAACCCAGCAACCATTTCATGTCTTCTACTCTCAACAGGCATGTCTCACAGCCGTATAAAAGGACGAAACGAACTACAGTGCAGTGCAGTATACTCGTTCATTCATAGATGGTCGGATATCTCGTCGGTCGACACCAGAGATGACGCTTGTTGGCAAGTGCTAAACGGGCCTTCCGTATCCGAGCTGAGATTTCGTCCGCAACCAGTCAATTCGGGTTGATCGAACTCCCCAACTGAGTGGAGTGGTCGACACATCCCACCATTTTACTCTCTATCATTAAACTAGGAGTTTGCAGTAGACCGATTCGGGAGCATCATCTTATATTTGACAGGTGCCAGCGAAACACATGCCCAACATACTCAGATTTTTGACCAACGCATCCAGAAGACCCTACACTTTGCCAGCGTCTGCATATTACAAGTTAAGTGGATGGCCTACAGAGAATAAATCAGTCCTTTTGGTGAATTCAGACGTACCAAGGGTTATGTCCATTGGTGAGGTTATGACGAAATTAAACAAATGGCATCCGTGGCGAACGCCACTAGTTGTCTTCGATTGTGATGACTATTCTTCATAAACGCTCACACAGTTTCGTGAGTTCAATTAGAGAGCATTGGTTAGCAGTATACACATGCTCAGTATTCCCACCCTCAGGCAGGCGCTACCACAACACCTTACGGTGGATAGAGACAAATGCCGCCTTCAGGTCAACAAGTACGACAAGTATCGGTCATTGGCGGTTAGGTATGCTTGTGTTCCCGAATCTGATGTAGGGGGGAAGATGTGATCGACGCACCCTCGTCCAAGTATGAAACCTTTCTGGTTTCCTCGAGTTTTTTGTTTTCAAGCTGCAGTTGGCATTTGGTAACTATGGATTACATGAATTTTGACACAATATTAGTTGAGCTTAATAGGTAAATCTTCTTCAGGGTTATAAGAGTACTTTAGTCAGGAAGTTCAAATCAGAATGTGCAAGGTGAAGATCAAATTTAAAGTGAGAAGAATTAAAATTTAATTTTCCGTAAATGATTCCCTGATTAAAACCTTTAGCCACATTTCTGAGTTGCTTCAAGATTTTTAGAAATTATCTGTTTAAATTGTGTAGCTCTTATAAAAATGTTTCTCAACTTTTCACCTTTGCTTATGAATACAATCGAATTAGAACCTGTAGGGTATTCAGCTGACAGTTTATAACTGGATGAGGAACTGTTTCATTCTTTGGCAATGAAAGCATTTGTGGACTAAGGCAGCCCAACACTAATTTTATTTTGGTGAGTTTATAAACAGTTATGAAATTTATCTACCGGTTTTTCGATCAACTAACTAAATACATTAAACTGTAAAAAGCCTGTTATAATATTGACATAGTCGCAGATAATCGTGGCCTGAAAGACTTGTATTATTGATTCTGGATGATGAATGAATGTGGAATGGAAATCTGGTTCGTGGCAGATTTGAACCAGCAGCCTCCAGGTTATCGGGGCCAGTGCTCTACCAACTGAATTACGAAGTCCGGCTGTTGACCAGACCTTGATTTCACTTCAGTCGATCGAAGTGAAAGTGGCTTTTTAACCAGTCAGTACCACAGTAATCATGATATTGTATTTCATAATTGCTTCAAATATCTTTCTTCTTGTTGGCAGTCCATCAATGGTTGTAATCTTTATGTTGCTAAACTATTTTGTTAAAATCTAACTTTTAGTCAGGCTCAAGAACCAGGCTTTGAAGTTGAATTCATTATAATCGGTCAGTTGGCCAACACTGTATAACTCTTCAAGTTACCGTACTTCACTTCAAGATACAGAGAAACAAAGTGAAAAACAGAGGTTGCAAATCGTCACAAAATGAGACGACAAGCAGAGGATGAATAAGTTTACGATGATGCGCTCATGCATCTATAAAACTATCGTACTTTCTGAGTCATATCACCTACGGTCTTTAACCAGCTATTTCAGTTGTCACACGAAGAACAGTTAGAATGTCTATATTTCCTTAGACAGCTTAGATGAAAAGTCAGAGATACCACTGACTGCCTTTTATCTTGACCTGACCATGTTTAACGGTGATTAAGCATGCATGTAACATGTTTCAACCAATTACGTAGGTGAAGGCTTACAACCTAATCGGCTAATTCTCCTGTTTCGCCCAAAATCCTACGTCTGTTTTCTGCATTACTAACATAGAGGTTCCAAACAGTACGGCTTACGCTCCAAAGGCAATATTGGCAGGAAAACTGAAACTTTTTTATGCTCTCCATCACTTTAAATAGATATGCTTCACAGCCATATAGTAGGATACATATAACCGGAGTGCAGTACCCTTGGCCCATAATATATAATCAGATATCGCACCAGCGCTACGGATGGGATAAGTCAGTTGGCGATATTTAATCATGCCCTTTATATTGGTGTAGAGATTTCATCAATTATTGACCTGTCGAAGCCGATCCGACTCCTTAAGTAATTGAAATGGTAAATGCTGTCAACCACTTTACTTATGACCGTTAGATGTGGTGCCAACAAAGACTAATCCTGAAGCAATTGTTTCCAAATGAATATTGAGAAAAACATTTCAGACATTCCCAAATGGTAACTTAAGGTCTCCGAAAGACGTTGCATCTCGTCAACATCTTTGCCCAAATTGACTATATCATCTGAATACTTAAAGTATAATAAAGAGTCTGGTGTGACCAGGTCAACCCAGTTAAGTGAGCTGGGGAGATGAACACTTCCCCAGCAAAGGTAAATAGAACTAGAGAGATTGAATATCCTAAACGGACACTACTCGTTGTATGAGACCCATCTAATACCTCATAATTAGTAACAACTTAGATGAAATGGTAAAAATGATGATAACCAGTCGAGTTTAGAATTTTTATTCCCTAAATATCAGGCCATTAGATGCATTAGTATTTTCAGTCTGTATATCATGGTACGCGAAAATAAATCCATAAAATATAAAGTATTGATTGCTTGTGACTTGTATCCTTTAGTCTGATAATATGCTAGCCTTAATGAACTAGCCTATACGATCTTTGATTAGGATGTGACTGAAGAGGTGAAAATAAATAAACTCCTCCTATGGTTTACCAGGAGGAATGACTAAAATTTTTCTCCTTTAAATCCTTTTGTGATTGTGGTTTACTGATTTTGTTGTATTGCATTTGACAGACATATATTACTGTAAGTAGACAAGTATAACAACCATAACAAGAAGTAAGTAAAAAACATACTTCTGTATTTGAAACACCCATACATTCTGATTCAACAAATTTCATTCTACTTATGTATCTAATAGTTTTTTTAAAATATAACAGACATCTGATTTTTTAGTTTTCTATGTCCTTTTTCATTAACGATTTCTTGAAGGACAAGTGGCATATATTTCAGCGCTGTTCATACGATATAGTTGTTAATTATAATAAATAAAAACAGAGTCACTATCGAAACATAAGTTGACAAAAATATTCTAAGTATTTTAACTCCGAATATATCTGATGTTTCGACTTTTATGGTTTTTCTACGGAAGTTTGGATTAAACTTATACATGAATCATTAGAAGTATTTCATTGGCCCTTGTTGATCGCTCTGAGATCAGCACAAATGTGACTGATATTTTTTCCGATATCATCATAAATCACCATTGGTGAACATATTGCTGAAGATATGTAAAACTAAGCATGTAATAACTCTAAACGTAACAAATAAAGAAGGCCTAATTGTAATTTAAATTACACATTCAGTGACGAGCAAATCATTATGATGTCCTGAAATTAAAAATGGATTATATCACTATGTATTGTGTGTTGTGTAAGATGTAGCATCTTGAAGCAGATTTCTAAACCTCTATTTCCATTTATGAACCTTTGAAAATGTTTCGTTATAATATATCAGTGAAAAAATCAATACCGAAAAGTTAAGTAATGATTACATGTAAATCAAGTTCTATTAGGCCACAGTTTGGATTCCGTAGGATTCCTGCTAAAATAGCAAAGCAACCGGCAGTTTGCATTGGATTTCGTGCCATCTAAAAAAGAAATGTTTGTTGATCATAAATTGCATAGGTTTTCATTAATTAATACTTGCTCAACAAAACTATCTGTCTGACATTGTAAAATATTCAGCCCAGTGATCTAGTCGTTTGAGACACCGTAAATATGAAAACAAACCAAAAAGAAATATGTACAGTATGTCTAGTGTTTAAAACAAAGCAATATGTGTGTAAATTCTATATTATTGTAATTTTTACTGCCACGTCACATCGTGTTTTCGACATCTGGTTTTCACTACTCCAGTTAAGAAACTTAGATGACCTACTCATCATTCAGTCACCAACAAAGTAAAGACAGTTACATTGAAGAGAATTATATTTTTAGATCCTTTCATTTCCACAGCTTTGCACATATCAATATATTATATAGTGTTCAAGATAAATTTATGACCAAGGGGCTCAAAGTCAACAGACTAGCAAAAATAAGTTCAGCGTGAAAGGTAGAACAGGTTGACGTAGCACAAAGAATACAGTATGAATACATAGAATATAAAATAAGAAAACACAATCAAGTTTATGGAGAAACTGGATCATTTGATCAGAAGGTTTTTAGGAAAGACAGAAGTCCTGAGTGACTCTTCAAGGTCATCGAGAGGCTGCTTTAGAATACACTGTTATGGCATGAATATGTGGCATTTTATTGCTATGATTGTACACAAATATCTTATCTTTATTCCTTTTGAACAATCCAACTAGTTTTTCAAGAATTATTTGAAAAATGTTTTCAAGAAGACAGAATATGCTCAGTTCTTAATACCTACCTACTGTATAGATAAAGATAGTAATATTTTCCATTTTTACTATCTAAGCTGAGCATTTTTCATTCATATGGTTAGAAATTTAGTGCACAGCACAGTCAAGTAACTCGACTCTGCAGAAGCAAACAAGTCTATAAATGAAAATTCATGACTTCTAACGGGTCAGTTTTTCCCGCTAGTACTGATAAATCAGCTGTTAAAAATAAAAAGGTAATTTAAAAGTCTACGACACAGAAGGTTCTGATCAGAAAACTTAATCAGCATTAACGGATACCATCCATGATAATATCACCGTTAAACTGCAAGTTGGTAATCAAGTTTTTCTCCAGAATTAAATAAAATCATTTCGTTAAGCATTTTTCTTCTCATATTTTTGTCTGAAAATCAGTAAGGAGAAACAGCCCTTAATTCTCTTTTAAAAACCTACTTTCAATACACTAATAAGTTGAAGTTTCAGATAGTCATACAGAAAACTCTACTAGTATAATTGTTTTTATATCATACCGTCGTTGATTGGACCTAACTGATCGGTCTCTATTGGCATATAGGCTCCTGTGCAGATGCCTCGATATTTCCTGCATTCTAATTATGTTAATGATGGATCATGGCTAGCAGTGGAATCCAGGATGCGCATTTCCTCCTATTTGGGACTCATCAGCTGGATGTGCCTGCTTCCCAGTGAGTGATGTTGTTCCCACTGCGATTCGGACTCGGGAGCGATCGCTTCAAATGCATTCTGGATTCCACTGCTAGCCACGATCAATCGTTAACAGAACACCCTACTGTTTCCATAGTATACTTGCAAATATATACCTGTAGAATTGACACTGTTAGAAAATAGTTGACTTTACTTCAACCAGCACTTTATTTTTATGTGAAAGATTTTTTGATGTGAGTGTGCACCTTTTTATTTAGTAGTTTTTGATGACCGGTGCCACTCCCAAAGTGCCAAGTCGATTTTTGTTTAAATAAAAATTTAGACCTTTCTTTAGTCGTGTAATCCCATGTCCTTTAGATTATTGTGGGATGAATTCTGAACAACCTTCAAGTTAGTAGGTTGATCTTCATATGATGAATTTCTTTTACTGTCCTTTTCTGCTCTCACTCTTCGAAACTGATTTTTCTGCATTTAGATATTTCCAAAAAGTGATTTTCTCTTTGTCTAGATATAAGAACTGTATCATCTAATTCCGTGGGAAGAAATTGTATGGTGTAGTCCTTATTACTAAACTGAGACCGTTCATCATGGACTCGGTATAGTTTCCGTTATATCCAGAATCATGTATATCATCATGTTTTTGTAGTTTACGAAAAATTCATAAACGTGACGTCCCTATAAGACCAATAGTGGACTTTGAAAATTCTCCAACATATGTTTTGGCGAAATATCTCGCAACCCTAATAAACCCTTTCCAACGTACTGTTATCAGTTGCATTAAAAATGCCAACAAATTCTGTTCAAAAATAACGGTAATAACTGTTGTAGAGAATGAAACAGTGGTAAGTTATGGCACTGTTTGATTGTATACTTGAATTTCTATTGAAAGATGTTTAGATGTAATAAGTGAATTGTAAGAGAGTGATTACACACGTTGTCAGGTAGATCTCCTTTGACTTTCAGCCTCATTATGAAATCACTCAAATTTTTTGCTTAAATTCGACAATTCCCATGTTCAGAGGAAGATTAAATAAATAAACAAATGGAGTGGTAATGGATTCTTCAGAGTCTTATGCCGTTGCAAACCTTCTCATGTTGCATATTGAGTTCATAATCTTTATCAACTCTATCAAATCATGTATTTGGCTCGAATATGCAGATGCTACATTCCTAACTTTGAAAAAGTCATTCACAAAGACGTTTTCAAAACTAATTAATACCCATCCTACATGTATCAAATTCACATGTAAATATGAAAATGCAAGTGGTGAACTACACTTTTCAGACTGTTTAGTTAAAAAGAATGGGAATGGAATTCTAAGTTTACTGGTTTATCCTTAGCCAACATATTCCGACCAATAACATGATTTAAACTCATCTCACCTACTCAGTGCTATTCTTTCCCTAGCTTAGAATGTGTTCAGGAGAGCCACTAAACTCGTCACGAATGAAGACAACAGACAGGTGGAAGTATGAGACAACAGATTTGGGACAGTCCAATAACTACTTTTAATGTCACTCAAAAGAATAACAACTGTGAAAAGAAGAATCCAAGAGGAAAATGATCAGCAGCAGTTTTATAGTCTCGCCAAGGGTAAAAACTGAAGAGCTATAAAGGATTTTGAGAAAACATCGAAATAGAGCCTTCTGTATGATAGCCAACACTTGGGAATGCTTTAGATAGAATTCATTTTACCTCCACACACGAAACGACCTCCAAAAAATCTTACAGAACTAGAGAATTTACAATTCAAATCTGCAATATCCGTTCATGCCATCTATCATAGGGGCAAAATTTATTCAAAAGGGATTTTAAAACTATAAGGAAACAGGGATAGTTGAGGCATTTTACTTCATATTAATTCCCAATTTACTCATCAGAAAGTGATGTCTAAATATCCAACCAACTTGGATAGTATATCCGAAAGTATACATGCAAACAAACTAAAATTTGCACCTAAAGTATTTTTCTCTCAAATCCAGATCTTCGTCTTGAATTCACGAACTGACGAATAATATGACATCCACGTTTATCCCCATATTATCATCATGTATGAACAATGTGAACTTATTTGTCATCGACTACTATTTTGACATACGGTAGCTTGTACAGGTTTTATTTTTTGAAGAAACGACTTCCACGAAATCGCGAAACGTCAAAAATTTCTTTCTCTGCTGCATTAGGATTTTACAATTATATATCACTTATAATCTATGTACCCAATGTTGAACCTATTCAACTCTATCAGGCCGAATTTCAATCCTCAAGTTTATAAAGTACATCATTTTTACTAGTGTGATTATCTGAGATAGAGGTAGTTAGGCAGGCTGATGCTGTCGATTTCGTTCATAAAATTTAATGTTATCACTGAAGTCAATGAAACAGGAAAACAATAAATGCTAGGAATCATCGCGTGACGCGATTTAAAACCAGTGATAATCAGATAGGCACACTCATTTTTAATCCTGCTATAAATAATATATTGAGGCTCTACACATTATTTCTTAACCTAAACATCTTTCTGATCGCTTCTTATTTTTAGGTTGTGGTTTTATCACTGTAATGCTTACAGTAATCTTCCTAATGGTACCTTTTCTCACGTCACTTTTTGGAAGTGAATCACCTTTAAATGACTGACTGGAAGATGAAACTGGTACATATTATCATTGTATTCGTACCATATTTGTGCAACAGTTCAATATTTAATTACCCTAGTTATGTCAGTTCCTTTTAAAGTTATTCCTTGGTGTTACTTCCCATCTTTTTTTAGTGAATTCACTAGCACATACCTATATTAATTTGAATACGCATTCATGTAGTATTAACGATAAGAAAACAAAGAGATGTTTTGAGATTCAGATAGATTGTACTGTATGTATTTCATTGTAAATTACAAATGTTGGAGAACGAAATCAGTCAATAAGCTAGTAGGAAGAGTTTGTGGGGATTTATTTATTGGTTTCAAGTTGGTACTCACCATTGACTGACATCAGTTGGTTTATTTAGTCTACACAGGACACTATCTCCTTATCTGACGGAAAAGTTGAGGGATGTAATCAGAGTATCTCAGGTTGTCACAGTAATGAGACGAATTCCCAACTTAACAGATTTTCTTTTCTGTGTGCCGCTTAGTTTCAAACTGCGATTCGATAGGTTTGTTGATTTACTGAAACTAACTAATGGCATTTTATTCTATTTCTTCTTTGTAAAGTGCCGAGAGTTTTCTTAATGAATTCCTTGTGTATATGAAATAGAAAGTATTGTTCATGTGAAAGGACAGTATCTTGATGAGAAATAGTAGCTAGTGTTATGAATTAACCATAGCATGTATAGTGTGTGGGAGATGTGGGAAGAACGGTGAAATACATTGTCCTGCTTGAATAGAAGACATTAGATGCTGATATGCAACAAAAAGCGTGCTATTCATCTTCTGCTGTTGTGATACATTCATCACCTTTGGGTATTGCAGCAGCCCCCTCAAGCCATAGTGAGTCTAACTTTTTTTACTAATTTACCATAACATGGAATTTATCTTCGAAAAAGTAATGCTAAAACGATCTGTGGTTATAGTGCAAACAAGGGTTCACACTCAACAGTTGTAAGGTATAATCTTAACACTATATTACGATACGAGACAATTATTTCATATTTCACTCATTGTTAAGAAATGGTGTAAATTGATGGCAACGTGATTATCACCGTGGTATAAAAGTGAATATAAATCATCTCACCACTACATTGGTGCAGACAATTTAAAAATGGTACAGTCTTCTTAAATAATTCCTTTTACTTCCAAACATGTTGATTCCAGTGAATGTTTGAATCGAAATAAATAATAAGCATATACCTGAAAGGTTTTTGCATGTTTACCTCATAGATAAAAACACCGAGAGTTTAAACTTCTGGAGAAACTCATCAGATAACCTAATGAGCATTAAATTGATATCTATCATGATCTGACCTGGTTACATAACATTCTGTTGAAACAGCAGCAGAGTATATTGATAACTCCAGACTTACGTAAACCGTCGAGTTTGTAGCTGACTGGAAGTATGGGAGAGCGACATATTCTGAAAGCGTACTTTGAATGGCCTTCAGGGATGACTATCTATGAACACTAGACAGGCTAAATGAAGTACGAACCGATATGGAAACATGATGGTCTACTCTCAGATCAGCCCAGACTAATAATCTTAGATTACAAGAAGCATGAGAACTTTCATAGAATAACCGAGATCATGGCACAAACTATCAGTTGACGCTTAACTGGTAAGCTGAATATAAAACATACTTCTGATCTGGTCGGGTATGTATCGGTTCTTTATTCAACAGGCTGATAGTTCAAGCGTTCTATATACATTTGAGCTACTATGCACTGTCTAACAATTGTTTAACACTCAAAAGCCAAATGGTCAAATGCTCTAAATACCTTTGTATGCTGCTCGGCTGAATTAAATTGAGGATAATATATTGTACTGGGATCTGCAGGAGTAAAGAAATCTGGTAAAAAATTCACACAAAGGATATCTATGAATAATGTCAGTGATACTACTGAAAACCTTAAAGCTTTGCAAATGTATTAGCTTACTCTTAGGCAAGTTAGTGTTGAATTTACATAAAAGCCTTTACTTAGTAGTACGGATCCTTCTGGAGATATTCGGTTATCACTAAAACAGAAACAAAAAAGTTAGACAAATGGAAAATTTCCATTTAGATAAATAAAAGACAGATTAAGCGAAGAAATATTTGTTCTCCATGAGGTTTTCGTCATTGTCTCTACACAAACATATAGGTTTTACATTCAGTAGTAAAAAAATACCATTCAATAGAAGTTGGGTTAATTAACTAAAATAATTGTTAATTTAGTTACTCATTAAGCTGATACTTAGAAAAAGGAATCACAAATTCTGCATAGAAGTGTAAAACGAGGTAAAACAGGCTTTTTGTTCACTGACTTCAAAACAAATGACATGAGTAGTGACGTGCTTGGGGAAAGTGGCTACCTGTTGACTGTACAGAGAATTACGTAAGAGTAGGGGGAAGGAAATATAAGGAGGTAGATAATATGAGATGAACAGGGGAGAGGGCTATTTGTGATAGAATTTCAGTTTATTAGGAGGGAAAATGAAACAAACGGAAGTTGGGAGTTAATTTGACCTGACGGATAAGGTTGAAAAAAAATTCTTCTGAATGCATAGATTCAGTTTGTTTAAATGAATAGCAGTGGTTTCTATCACGTGTACTAAGTGAATTCTCAAAGTGCGCCAAAGACTGAATGGTACACGTCAAATAAGTGTAAAGCCTTGTGTGCATTCACTTTATGACTAGTGTCTGCCAACCGGTCAAGCACTTAGCTTTTTATTGTCTTTTTCTTTCCTTTATGCATCCCCAGTGGATGGTTTCGGATATTCCATGATGAACTTGTCTAGTTGTACATTCTATGTAATTAGCTCTACAGGGCCAGTTATTCTGCTAAATGCACAATAAAAAGCGAACTCAAGAGGTCTTTCTTTATATTCTACACCTATAACTGACCAACTGTGGAAAATAAGACGTATTTCTGAAGCTCTGAATGTTCTCTGATAAGCTGTTTTCGAACACTGCGTTATATTCTCACGAATGACGTCACCTTTGAATTCAAGAAAACAAGTTTCTTAGAGACTGTAACAATTTTTGACTTGGCTTTCGTCTCCTTCATGTACCATGTCACAAATTTAGTAGGATATGCATTTCTAATAAGCAGGCGATGTATAGTCTGTAGACCATGTTCCATGGTGTTATAGGAGTAAATGACTTCACATGAACCGAGCATTTCACCAGAGTTTGTTCATATCTCAGGCGTACATATCTGTTAAATTGAGTTTACTAGTCAGTCAGTGTTGGCTTTCCTTATACGAGCTGTTTTATCGGTCCTAAAGAAATCCAGAGAAGAAATAGTCATTTCCACCTTCTTTCATTGTGAAGGTGATAAATGGATGAACGGCTTCATTTTGGAGAACTGTAAATATGTCACCAATGTAATGGTTATAAGGTTCCAGCTGAGTAATTTTTTCTTCAGGATGACAGTTTTAAGTTTTCCCAGGAGAAAATCAACTATGATACGACCTGGTTGTGACCCCATGGCTACACAGTCACGATATCTGCTGAACTCGTTATTCAACAGAAAGCTAGCCTTCATCGCGCGTCTCAGGAGAAATGCTTTCATAGTGCAGACAAGAAAGAAATTCACATCTAACGTATATATTTTAGGATACAATTGTTCCTTGTTTTATTTCGGTTTATCATAGTGTCTAAGACAAGTTCGACTGTCAGAGAAACTGAGTTGAATGAAACTAATTTCTGGCATAAAAATGTACGTAAAGACAAATCTTCCGTAGTTAACATTTCACTGATATACTAGTCGTTATCTCTGATGAAATGTTAGGAGATTATACTATTTGTTTTTCCATTATGCTAATAATTTGCCAGTCTATAATAAGTTTGATTAGCTTGTTGATCTAACCTTTACTAGAATTAAGGCTTTTGGTAGTCTCACTCATAATATTTTACACCTTCCTCCTTACAAGTCATCTGGATATGTTGGAATCTGACCAGTTCCTATTTAAGTAGCTCCACTGCTTCTTTTCAAATTACTTACACTAATTTGATGTTCTGAGTTGGTCTAATTTTTAGATTTGTCAACTGAAATCTTTTCGAATCTCTCGGATTAAATCTATTCCACAAGTTTACCAAGTTACTTAAAAATGTGTTTATTGATATTTGTGATATCCTGCTGTTATACTGGTATATGAGCGCCTGTGTGGATGCCTCAATACTTTTAAACCTTGTATGCATGGTGTAACAGCCGCCGTATAACAAAGATAAGTTAAGTATGACTTATAGCATAGACTGAAACCCCAGCTATATTTTGCATTCATCGATTCATAATGACAAAGGTTACTTTGGCAGAAAAGACAACTAATCGATGTCCAACTCTACAGTGAATTATCAATTAGTAAAATATTTGTAAACAGTACGACTCATGTTAGTATGTCTCATGGCTGAATAGTCATTCAGCTGGCTAGATATGACATTAGTAGGCTTTCCAATGAAAGCCACTCAGTCTAAATAACATATTGAAGTCTCCGATAAAAGAAATTATCATAAACTAATGTAACAAATTGTACTATGTGATCCTAACTGAGTGGTTTAAAGCAGAGGTCTTGCTAATGTCGCATTTAGTTGTTTCTGAGTAATAATATTGTTAGGTATAAGGTAACCACTCGGTACAAAAATATGTACACAGAAGACCAACTAATCAGGGATGATTGTTAGCATGCAGCCAACCTACCAAAGACATACTAGAGAAATAATAAACATCAACACAAAAATCTATGTCTTTCGTTGATGAAGTCTCGTCGATGCCGACAGGTATATCAGTTAGATAGTAACTCTGAATGTCAATGGCAAAGACTACACTTTCACCTAAGTATTCATGTCCGTAGCTACTAATATTTGTGGACATATAATACGGTTTAATGGACTGGATCATGCAAAAGACTGTGAGGAGTGAGAAGAAGGGCACACGCTGGCTGGACGAATGATTAGACCCTAGAAGATTTGGATTTCGCCAACGACGATGATTTATGTCTAATGTCGCACAAGCTCGAAGATCTACAGGCAAAAAACAGCCAATTGTCAGAAAAGGCGAAGCAGCGAAGAAAGGACTTCCTTCAGGTGAACGTAGAGAAAATAGAGGTGAGGAAGATACCCAACTAACAACAAGCACCAATCACCATCAACGGGAGAAGCCTAAAGAAAGTAGTCTCTTTCACCTACCTAGGCAGGCAGCATCGTTTCAACTACAGGTGGCCGCACAGATGAGGATATCAAAGCAGACAGGATCGGGAGAGCAAGCAAGACAGGCCCTCCTTCATTAGTCTGAAATCAGTATGGAGATCTACTGCACTCAGCATAAAGCATGAACAAGATCCGGATTTCCAACACTAAGTCGGTCAAGTCAGTGCTTCTATGTGATGGTTGAGAGACTTGATGAGTTACGAAAAGCATTTCCAACAAACTATGGGCATTCATCAACAGCTGCCTACGCTGGCCCGATACTGAAGATCAGATGGCCAGAATAATAAGAATAAGCAAGGAGGAACTCTGGCTGGCTGGCTGGCTGGCTGGCAACAAGCCAACCAAGAACCCATTGCCCAACAAATATGCAGAAGAAAGTGGAGATGGATTGTATTGGGCATACACTGAGAAAACTATTCGGAGACACCACGCGTCAGGCCCATGAGTGGAATCCAAAGGGGAAACGACGAGTTGGGTGTTCGAGGCAAGGGTGACATGGAGTAGATAGTGTGAGGAAGAAATGAAAGCTTGTTGGTAGTCGTGGTGCCAGGTTGAAAAGACTTCAGAGAACAGAGTGGAATGGAGGTGTGCTACTGAAGCTCTATGTTCCTGTAGGAACCCGAGGGACAAATAGTAATAAAGATAACAAATATAATACAGTTTATTATCAGACAACCTTGTTTTGTCACTTTTAAATGTTCAGTAGCTTGATTTGGAGGTGACATAATTCTGCCACTAAATACGCCAATATATCTCCATTATCATTACTAAGACAGTATGAAGTCGGTAAGAGAAAGGAACGACTGAAGAAGTGAAAAGTAACCAGTGATTAAGGTAACTTAAACTGTTCATTAACAGATGATTGTTTATCCCACTGGCAAAAGTTCTTCTGTTTTATTCAGGAAATTTATAGTAATTAAGGGCAGGAAGCACCAAGAAACTAGGTCATCTGTTGGCTTTGTCTAGAACCATTAGGTAATCTAAGGGCCATAACTTATACTGCCTATATTTTTTCGAAAATTGTAGTATAAATGAATATATCTGTACGTGTACTCCATTCAGGTTATTTTCATTTCCATTTGTTCGTTCTTGTTAGCGTTCTGTTTCTTGATATGCGCTCTATACATTGTGCATTTATATTTTGCTAATTGGTTTCCATAACCATGATATCAAGATGAGAGTTCTATAAGATTTTTTATGCCGATTACACAAAATGAGCCAGAAAGTTCAGCCTACCTACCTCTTACGCTATGAACATCAACTAATTAGCAACAAGTTGAAGGGTTTAGGAGGTGGTAATCAATATCGAATGCAAAAGTGATGGATACTATTGCTAAAGTTGATTCTTTTGAAAAATCTAATGCTGCATGTAGAATTATTTTTAATTCACTACAATTAGAGTTCATTGTAGGTCACATGTTTAAAGATTTTTTCTCTTCAATTAATTCCTAGTGATAACCAATGGTCTACCACAAATGAGTCAGGTTTTACACCCACATACGGTTTGCACAAATTCTTGATGCTATATTAAAGGTAGCTGCAAATTCTTTTTCTAATATAATTATTCGCAGTTGTAATTTCCCAAATAAAGACATATATCAGTGAAGAATCCTTAGAGGAAATACAACACTGAATACAGTGAACTATAATGTCTGGTTACTTAGATAAGTAGTTACTGTGCGAACTTGACTTTCATCATTTAGCCAGAAGCAAATGGTAAACTGTATGACGTTCTATAGTCTTCAATATTTAATTTGTAATATATCAAAACGCTTTATTCACCGTGACTCACTTCCTAAAATTCAATTGAATGCTGCGTTTCCTGTTTGTGACGTTAATACTAGGTAAAGGTAAACAACCAATCACAAACAATTTCTGATGTAATAAGATTTGCTTCCCATTTTCATTTAGCTGTCCTCCTCTGTATTTCTAACGTGAGTAGATACTCAAAGTGACATGCAATCATGGAAAGTTCTACATTGTTAATTGACTCTGTCTACATTTCGTTACATCTGCGACATGATTTTCTCATGCGGACATGTAATATCAATTTTATTAACGATGCATGAATTTGTAAAACACATTTTTGGATGAATGGAGCAGAAAAAACAAATTAACCATCACCTTAAATCCAATGTGTTCAATGTTTGATTATTTCTTAAAGCATAAGCTAATTCACGACATCCAATGTTTGGACCAATTCCATTTGCAGATAAATTAAGATATTTCAAATTTTTATTCTCCTGAAAAATGGAAAGAAATACACAAATACATCTTAGTTAATCCTTAGCATTCAATCATAGTTAATGACAGAACACGAACAGTCTCAAATACCACAGTATTCTGTTGTTCAAATTAGGTCAAACGAATTATATCTCGACTGGTTGACCAATGTACACAAATTAGGCTGGTGAAATATAGGTTAAATTCATTGGTGACAGTAGACAAGAAACCTTGGGGCTATATTTCTTGCTTTTTAGCACTTGTTAACAATAACTATCTGCAACCTCAAGGGAGCTGACGTCCAATGTGAGACGAACTGTTCTACAGTAACTAGTCAGTGGATGTCATCCAGTCCTATAGAAGATCAGTTGGGGTCCAAATAGATCATTTGTAGCACTTCTGACTTCAACACTTGGTGACGTGGGTTCGAATCCTACAAGGGATACTTATTCCCTCAAAGTTGGATATACTCCTTTCTGATGAGTCCTAGCAAGCACGAGACCTACCTTCAGCGCTTCCTGTTGACTACTGCGAACTGTCTAATATCAATAAAAGTGCATCGTACCACCGAGTCTTCTAGCTTGGTGACCATATTACAGAAATGATCGAAAGAATTTGTCTAACACTTGAAACTAGGCAGCCTGAAATTGCTTACTGTTCAGTGACCATGTAATGCTGTGAAACATTCAGTCACATTTATAATATAGGGATTGTTATTTATTGTAGATATAGTTAAAATAAACAATAAAAAAATATTTCGAGTTGTTATTCATCATATTCCCGAAGTTCCAATGAGAAGTCATGACCGGTGGGGGCAAAGACTGATGGTCATGAGGACAGTTACTTAACAATGACATTGGGTAGCGGTTGCGCTATATCGTGAGCTAACAGAAGTTGGAAATATGGACCATCGGATTCTGACACTGTTGCTCAATGGTGACGTGCTGGTCATGAAACCTGAAGGTCACGAGCTCAATCCCTGGCGGGATTCGTGGGTGCGCACTGCTGAGGAATTCCATACTGGACGGAACAGCTATCCAGTGCTCCCAAGTTTCCTTTGTTCCTCCAACTGATGTCAGTCTACGATGAACACTAACTTGAGATACTTCCAAATCCCTATAACTCCCTCAAAATTCAATAAAGAAATAAGCTACTTGGTAAAATTCGCTTTCAGCAAGAGAAGGGTGGACAGCCATTAACACAGATCTTGAGCTTTTGCATGCATTTCAGATATACATCGCCAATAAATACTAAACTGGCGAAGATTGTTATTTAAGATACAGACACTAGAATTTAGAATTTTCTCTGAAATACTGTTAACACAGTACTGATTTCGTCTTTGTTTTCATAAATGCATGAAAGAAACCATATTTCATTATTTAATCATCAATATTAGTAAGTAATAAATAATAATCAAAATCAGCACTTCGAGACCACTGAGAACCATCCAAAGTGAAGAATTAGACTCATAGTAATTTGTTTGCATGACTGAAAACTTCTAGACTGACCATCTATTGAATTACTGAATAAAAAAGCTTTGAGATGAACTATTGATTTATATATCCACTAGGGTATTTAACTAACTAATAATATATTTAGCAAGGTTAAAAATAGAAAATAAGGTTACATCAATGATTGAAAAGATTATGGCGTTTTTCTTCAGAATTGGGTTTTAAAAGTTCAAGAAACCATTTGATAGCTGCAAAGCGATAAGACCTTCCATCACACTTTAGGAAACAAAAAATCTGTTGACTAAAATTATGTAAAAGTTTAAAGACAGATTAAATTAGTTCCCTACAACTCTCCAGCTTACATATATAGTTTATTTGATTAAAAGAAGCAATGAATACTACTTTGTAGTTCGTTATCTCTCAAAATAATTGTGATCAAAGTCACATTAAAGATTTTCAAGTTTTACCTGATACATAAGGTTTTTTATATTGACCACAAGTATATTGAATTGATTTTATTCATCGCTGATATATATAAGGTCAATTTTAAAATCAATTTTTATCGACTTATAAGCATTATATTTTAAAGGCAGCATTTATAGTGGTATAAATAGTAAAGGATCTTATTTTTACTGCTGTTGTTCCTGCTGTTTTTTCATTCTTTCAGCGCAGTATAAGTAGTAACGTTTCTGAAAAGTAAAGGAAAGAAAGGCTGCTAAAGTTTTCATCAGTTGATGTGTACAAGCGCACTGTACTTCAGCAACATCCAGAGTGACCTTAAGCTAATCAAGGTTATGAAGAGAAAGTGGTAATTATGAAAGAATTGTGTACGACTTTAATCAAGGCCATATTGAAAATGTCTTCAGGTATCAGAGTATTTAAGAGAAGTTACTAAATTACATAAGACAGAATATTACAAATTCATTAAATTTTGGTAAATTTCCCTAGCTGAATTGTCTTTGTAGATAGTAATATAAATTATGGTCAAATGAAGGGAGATATGTATGCATAAATTTCAGTAGAAGATATTGAATCAGAAGTAACAACATTGAAATGCAAACATTTCTTTAAAAAGGGTTAAATAGGTTGGAATGACTGTAAGAATTAAAAGTGAGAAGTGGTGAGGATTAAAATGTAGTTACTTTATCATTTGTATGAGAGATTAGTACTGGAGGTAAGTGTACTCATTAAAAAGGGTAGGTTAGAAAATTACATAGGAATAATACAGACAACCAAGTAATAATTACTATTACATCTTATTTAAGACAGTAAAGTCGGTTAGTTGATGGCATAACGGTACAGTGAAAAAGATAATACATCATTTTAAGAATAACCATCCTCTCCTTCTGTAGAAAAATGTATTCTTTTTGGACGCGAAGTGCTCAGTTTTATGCAGTTGTAGGCATTATCTTACTCCAGTATTTGCTAACTACGGTAGTTGACCTGATATGACTGATATCTAGCTTTGAAGATAGCCAATATATAGAGTATCTCACTGAAGAGATTTCTGGAAATTCTGTGAATTTGTCACATACAGTTTTCGATACTTATGTGGAGTTTTTTTTCAAATTTGTGTTGCAAGGGAAATGAGTTCAATTTAGATGGAAATATTTGTAAAAAAACAACCAAGAAACATCTTTGTGTTGCTCAAGCCATTTCACTGTCATCACTAACGCAAACATTATGAATATTCATACATTTACAAGCTATTTCGGAGATAAATACCCATCATAATCAGTAGTCTTTGTGAATTCCTTATATTAAACTAAAATAAATCTTGTAAACATCTATACAATGAATTATTAATACAGAATTTAGCATGGTGGCTTCAGTGACTGATGTAACTGATGACAAATCAACGTTTAATATCCTGTTTATGTAAGCTGCAACAAAAAATAGTGTGAAATCGACTGGATAAGCAATTAGGGTCATATGCTTACCCTTAAAAAGCAAATTGATTTTTTACCTAGATAATCTGCTTTGCAAAAACAGTTTCCAACAAAAGGAGAAAATAAAAAGACTGAATCATGCCAACTTTTTGTATATCAAAATTTTTGTGGCATAGTTTATCCAGTTTTTCATTTTGCATCTTAGAGGGCCAGACTTAAAATCATTCGTTATACATGCTCGCTTATTTCAAGATGTCTACTATTTTGTAGTACACTAAATACAGTTACTTAGTTAGTTACAGTAAATTACCATGATAAAAACAGGAGGACTTCATTCTACTGAATACGCGTTGTGATATAACTAGAAGTTGAAAAAGTGAGCAGATATCCATCTATTAAAAGGAGGGAGGATCATATTTTCATAGAGTTCATGGGTGAATTGAAGGAAATATCCATTGCCTACTGGTTTAGGATAGTTCTTCTAATGAAGTTAGTTCTTAGTGAAAAATCGCTTCCTCACTGAACAGCTATATAATCATGTTAGTCATTTACCTTATGAAGCCTTAACAAATAAGAATACTATGAAAACAATATTATTATCAAATTAGACTAAACTTACAGCAAGACCTTTACCGAAATAATCCATTTTCCTTCCTCCTAGTCTATTCCAACTTAAATCGAACTCTACAAGTGTTGTTGCTTGAGGCAATGCTCTTCCAATATAATAACAGGATAAATCACCCAAATCATTATAAGAAATATTCATATGGGCCAATTTTAAAGAGGTCTGGAATTGTTTATATTTGCCGAGTTGTTTGTATTTTTAGGGAGAGAGAGGAGGAAGAAATTCAAACAAATTACCGTCACTTAAATTCAAAGCACCAAGTGACATTATTTATCAGGAGAGGTGATTAAAAATAGCAAATGTTTGTATATCATACACTAATAACTGATAACAGTAGCTACTCTCCACTCAGTATGATCAGCACAGCTAACTGACTAGATTGAGACGATGCAATAATTTGACAGTTGTTTTGTTCCTTTGGACCCAGGCTCATCAACAATGATCTTGAAAAGAATAGGTATGGATATTTTGATCGGTCGCACTACCCCAATTTCAGTTCGAATATCTTAGTTTCCTAAGGTAGCCATGATGCAATTCCACAGTTAGATCCTACTTAGTTTGATTCTACGCCTGATTTAGTGTTTTCGTGTGGAAAAGCTCACTGCTTCATTCCAATACATAGAATTTTTACTTCAAAGCCAATACTCGTCTTAATGTAGATGAGCATTTTTTTCAACTGTTAATTTAAGTGTAAAACTTAGGCACTGTGATAGAATATAATTTCATATTAGATTGTTGTTTCATCCAGTAAATATATTATATATTATAATCTATAATAAATCGCTTACTCGCCTTAATCAGAAGCACTAAATTTAGAATCAAAATATGGTGGCAGCATGTTGTATGGAAGGATGAGGTTAACTTATTTATGCGAATTATGAAAATAATAAGTGAGTGGTATCAGGTAGAGAACTGATGAGCGGTGAATATATATAGAGAGAGGAAGTTGTACTACTTATTAGCTACTCATCATTCTACCTATATTGTTGTTTAATTGTCATGGTAGCCCAATATATACCGGAATAGTACAAGGACAGCATTTCTTACTGTGACGCTAAACAACTTTTAATCAATCTCAAGAGAGTTGAAAACGTGGAAACTGTAAAATTATTCGGCCGTGAAGTTTCAGTTTGCGCAAACAATAAACTGAATTTACATTGTGTAATAAGATGACAGTTAATTTGAGAAATGTGATGTATTTGAGAAATACATTTTGAACAATCTGACCACACAGTTACATTCAACCTCCCTTTTTCAAGTAAATATGTGATCAGACTGTTCGAAATGTATTGCACCAATACATCACATTTCTCAAATTAACTCCGTTTTCTTATTACAGTATGTGATCCATCAATAGGATTATATATTTCAAGCCAAACGGAAGGTCTACTTTTACGCATTCTCAGCAACCCGATTCATAGTATAATCGGGTAGATAACTTACGCAATTTATTTACGCACTCCATTTACTACTGAGCAATGGTTGATTGTGAAATGAAAATCTGGGTATCCAGGCGGCGACCAGATGGTCAGTATTTTCAGTCATACCGTGGCTCAGAATTCCATTTTACCTTCAATAATCACTTAGTATCAATAGTACCAGTCTGCCAAACTACAGCTGTCTATAACACACTGATAATCCTCTATTTGTATTTAAGTACTGTAGCATGTCACAGGCTACCACTCAATGATCAGTGACTTTATAGGAAAAAATTGTCCTGCTTTTCAGAAACTAAAAATAAGTATTCAGAAACTGAGATTCATAGACATACAAACCAAGTGAATCTCTGCAGATAAACAGATCGAATATTGCACGAAATTGCATTCCTTAATTGACTCACGAAACTTCATTAAAATAAAAATTAAGAAGATAGATAAATAATTTATCTGCATGACCTACGGCAATTAACTCAGAGAAAAAGATTCCTGAATTATCATCGAATAAATTTCTTCTCAAACTTAATTTTGAAAGTTGTGCTGTTGAAGCAAATACTTCACAGAGGGCTTCGGCTGACTTAGAAGTGAACTGATTTTCAGACAAGTTAAGATCAGTTATACAAGTATTATCTCTCAGCATATAGCACAGGTAATTCACACACTAAAAGAAAAGAAACGAAATGTAAATGCTAATAAAAGTTCATGTAACATATAGACATAAATAAGAAGTTGTAAGACAGTGCAGAAATTTGATGTATTTAATTGAAACTATGCTTTGTAAATAAGTGTATTTATTAGCCGAAAACTTTTGCAATGTTATAAAACATCCCATCTCTGGTGAGCAAATTCATGACTAAAATTATGGTGAGAAAGTGTAAAAAATGCATTGATGAACTTTGTGTCCGATTTCAACGTTGTACAGCTTAATAATATTCATGAAACATTTTTGTATTATGAAGAAAATCAGTTTATTGTATGAATGTAATGAATGCATACACATAACGATGTTACTTAATTTTGGTAATATTTTTAGTACAAATAGGTAACACCACTGTATGCAACCAATCATTAGAAACATATTGATAGTAAATTATACAGTTTACCTGCACTGTAAGCCCAGAGCTATGTGATTCAGATGATATGGTACAACACTGCAAATCACTAGGTCGCTTTACATTAAATTATCATGAAAGAAAACTAGAAAAAATAGACGAAATTCAAGGGAACTCGAGAAATCAGTCGGAGATAAGCAAAATGTTGAATGAAATTAGCGCAAAATATTTGAATAAACTAAAGTGTGAAAACATTTATGTTATTTAGGAGGGGGTGATTTCCAGTTGTTCTGAAATCGTATGGCAGCATTTTAAAAGCGTGAGATATTCTCAAGCAGTTTAGATAACATTTAATGATTAGTTACTTTATTTAGTTTTCTAAATTGACTTCCCTACAAAACTCTCTACCCTACTTGTCCTGTGATCAGCATTATGAACTATTTGTCAACCTAAAATATCTACTTGTGTCTAATATATGGAGTATGAGTACTAATTTCAGGACTGAATTATAAATCCAGTTCCGGACGCGGTGTGTACGTTTTTATCATTGAATTATGAATGATACAGGGATAAAAAGGATTGAAATTCTAGTAGGTATACTTCTAGCTGTCCCAAAAAACAGTTCCAAGAACTAATTCAGTCAGTTTCAGTCACATGATAATAAATACCTACATTCAAACTAACATAGTTACGGTTATGCTTTATTGATAACCAATATGATTTTAGTATTATTCAAAGCCACAGAATGAAAATAGCCAGTAAAGACTTAACTTGCACCACAGGTATGCTTACACAGTAGAGACTCATCGTGGCTTGATATCAGCAGTTTCGTGAAACTTAAACCGTGCTTAGAAGAAGAACATTCCTTTATCGATTATTTTTACTCACCGGGGTATTGATCTGATTGTGTATGGTTATTTTAGCTTCCTCTAGCATATGAATTTGCAGATTACTCGGGAATGCTGTTGACGAATTCAACCTGTTACCATGATATACCGGTATTCTCAAGGAGACTTTTCGTCATAAATAAGAAACTTTTGTAATAGCATATTCTAGAAAATCGACGTCCCAGCAAGTTTGAGATCTAAACCGTTTTTGAAAGCGTGATTGTTTCATCTTCATGCAAGCTTGTCGTAGTAGATATGATCAACGCAATTGAGTCACAAACTAGGGCTTGACAGCATGAAATTGTTTACCCTCTAGTGACTAATCAGTGTATCTAGTCCAGTCCTAAATGATGTCAGTCACTTCCAGAATGGCTCAATGGTAAGGCCTCTTCCTGTAGCTTTGGGTGATGCAGGTTAGATTATTACAATGGAAAGCCATTCCTTAGAAGTGGGATATGGACCTTGTTGAAGAATGTTAACAAACATTCACTTTCACGTTCAGGACTTCTTGTTGATCACCTCTAACCATGTAAAACCAGTCATAATAAGTTGTATTGCTAATCTCATAGCTAGTTGATCACATTACATAAATGATTGAAAGAATTCGGCTAGTATTTCAGACTACATAATGTGAAACTACTTACCCACCAGTGACCAATCAATAGCAAGTATCACTATTACCGTACACAGTTGACGATTTCGTGCTAACAAATTTTCACCTGGTTGATGAAGAATTTATAAGTACTTTTGCTGGTCATGCAGCGTGTTTCCAAATTTTAAACAACTGGATTCATGAGGTTGTCCTAAGCGAGTTAAATTGGCATTTTTTAAAATAATGTAGTATCTGGAGATAAAGGGATACGTTACACGATTACCCATGCAAAAACCCTGAGTGAAAGAAAACTTGTCCATGTACCTAAAATAAGCGGCCTTGCCACTGCCGGCTTTTAATATTTTTGTTAAAAATAGGGTAATCATTTTCCCATGACATTTGGTTTCATATGAACACCGAATTTAGTTGAAGTGAAAACTGACAAATACCTGTAAAATAGCAGGAGATTTCTAGGAGTCAGCTGGTACTTTGCCTAATAAAGTAAAAAGGTTAATCTAGTGACTGAGTTTCGATAAAATTTCTTTTGAGCTGGGCTGTTGTCGATCAAACATCAGAACTTTTCAGATCTATTATCTGATGACATAAATATGAACCATAGATTGTACTTTTATAATAATTAGCCATGAGAAGTCGAAGAGTGATTATTAAATGACGATATGTTCAGTTTAAGTGCACTATGATAAGTCAAGAATGCATACTATTTGTATAAATATCACGCTATAATTCGTCATTCTTGCATAAATTGCATTTTATAGCTAAGTTTCATCTGACTTTGGGGGCTGTAATTGTCCAGCTATTCTCTTCTGGTTGAAAAGTCGGCTCAGTCTTCTACCTCGGTCGTATGCCCTTAGATAGTGATTGATAGCAATTTGGACAGAACGAATAAATGGTTTATATCTGAGTTCAGCGAGACCGCGTTCTTAAGTCATTCGGATTACAAAGAGATAATTAAAAGTATGATAAAGGTATGATAAAAACCCTAGAATGGACTTATATTGGTCAGGCTTTATAAGATTAACCTGACCAATAATGAGCAATGTTGACTAAGAATATTCTAGCCATGTTATATCCTCATGCCATAAAAAAGTGTTTTGAAATTTTCAAAGTATCACATCATTAAGTCAGTTTGTCATATGCATCTTGATATTTTATTGAACATTGCTATTAATAACCAGTTCACATGAGAACTCATGATATGCACATTCCTCACTTGAAGATCTAGTGCTGGATTAAAGTGGCATTCATAAATCAGGTTTTGTCATTTACTTGGGTGTTGATAGGTTTCAGGTCATATATTTAGTCATACTCTAAAACCCCATTTTGTTATGAGATATCTACAGCAATGGAACAAGTCACCACGGGAGGTTTAGTTGCCATCACCGGAATAGCTTTCTGACATATTTTGAGCCAGCTGCAAATAGTCTACGTGGATTTAAAAGCACTGGCAGCATGTCTGTCACATGGAGGTCGAGGGAGGTAATAGAAACAATCTTCACTTTATTGACTCGTTATTAGCAGTCTGAAATACCACTATTAAGATTTTTTATACTACAGAGATGAACCAAACACAGAACCAGAGCGTGATGAGAATTAACTTGCCAAGTTAACTAAAAAAAATGAAATCAAAAACCCTTAAAATAATCACATTCCTATAGGACTGTAACTCAGTGTATAGTAACGAAACATGATAATAATGCTCATATAAATACTTTTTGCTCAATCTGCTACCGCTGCCAAACTAATGACTGAAAGAAGCAACTAACTTGTATGCCTTAGCATGATATTTACTCAATATAAGTATCTGTTAAAAGAGGTATCAGAAAACATTTCTCTGTGAACCGAGATGTGACAAATATGGTAAGTTTTTTTGCAATTCGTGATGCATAGATTCAAGAATACGGTTGTGTCATGATCAAAGATTCATACCTCATCGTCTAGAAAGGTATTGGTGAGATCTAGTTGAGTTATAATCGAGTTGTTTGAAATGCTTGAAAAAATAGGCTTCAGTTTCTTCAGTCCTAAAACACTATGTTTCAGACTGAGGTTCTGGTCTTTTAAATGCCGCAGAAAGTATCCAGATGGTGTAGCTCCACATGCTCTACAGTCTTTGATGTACTGAAGCTGATCAGGATCAGTTTGCCAACGGACTATAGATTAAAATTATCGCGCAATATTTATGCTCGTCCACATACCAGGAGTAGATCCAAGCCTTTTGATCTTTTCTTTGTGCTTATTGGATGGTTTCATGCCAGTTTCCTTCTGAAAGGTGGTCTTTGCACCAATGTCTTTTGAAACAAAGTTTTCGTCTTCCATTACTTTGGGTACTGGAAAAATATTATCGTTTTCACAAGAAGGCTCGAAAATACTAGTCAGTTTCTCTTCAATTACTTCCATCTGAAAAGTTTTTCAACTAAATACTTCAAAATCTTGTTTTCAATCAAAGAAAGTATAAGAAAGCACTATGTCTATTAAGCACTATGACCGCAGAAACTTAAACTAATTTCAAAATTTCGCGACTTGTTTCCTGAGGAATGGTGTTAAAACTGGTAGGCAATCAAGAATTTTTTTCTGTCGTAAAATATGTTTGAATGCATAAAAATCCTCATGCATTGAATACTTTGATAAGATAATTTATAGAGTCTGGATATATTTCAAAGTTCTGCGGTACACAAATTATTCGGTCTTAATGTTCACTGTATTTGGGTTCTTTGATGAAAAGTAGCTGCACTCTCCCTGAAGACGACCTAAAGCATGACGTTACATTGATTCATAGCTCTAAGAAAAGTGATTTTGTGTATATTCGTATGAAGACGCCGTCCCAGATACAAGATGAATATGAACTTGGTTCAATTCTTGGTGAGGGCAGTTTCGGTATTGTCTACTATGGTCTGAAAAAAGCTGATGGTTCAAAGTGTGCAATCAAAAAGGTGAGTATTTTTCAGGTTAGGTCCTTTGTCCTCAAGAAACGTTTCGTTACTTAACCTTTGGAAGCAAAATATCTTTTATTCAGTCCTAAATGGTCAGGATATTAGTCGTAGTTGACCTTTGTTAACCTTTATAATGGTTTTGTACTGTGGTGATCCGGTTTTTATCTCAATAGGTTCCCCGAAGGAGCTGGTAATTCCTGCTCAGGCAAGTTTCAAATTCAGATTTGTTGTTTGAGTATCGTTTCCCAGTAGACTTCCAATCGCTTTTTGAGCGAGTAAATTGATGATGCGGACACCACTTCTTCTGGGAGTTGGTTCCAGGCGTTGGTTACTGGATACGAGAACCAGTACTCTGCGGAGACTTTGTTCTTTCTTCGCTTTTGTACCCTCCTACCATGTCCTCTGAGGTGTTCCGCCCAAGTGGGAAGGAAAAGAGAAGATAGATCAGGTCCAAAACCATTTCGTAGAATCCTCAAAGGCATGATTAGGTCTGCCCACTGTCTGCGATGGGACAAAGTGAAGAGGTTCAGATCCTTCGGTCGATCTTCGTCGGTAAGGCCAGCCATCATAGGGATCATGCGAGTGTCTGCCCTCTGAATTCTTTCTAGAAGGTCTGTGTCATCTTTCAGACAACGATTGGCCGCCTGTGTACACTTTTCTAGTTTAGACCCAATATAAGAGTAAAACTTGGGCACTGTGGTCGATTGTAATTCCATTTTAGTCTGTTTATTAGAAATATCACACAGTGAAACAGTAGTATTTACTGGATAACGTTCCAAACACAATTTATTATCCATATTCATATCATATGAGTGTTATCCAGTAAATACTACTGTTTCACTGTGTGATATTTCTAATAAGCAGACTAAAATGGAATTTAGACCTGATTATGTGTATAAGATAGTGAACATGTCACCACTTATTTTCGTAAACGTTCTACATAATACCAAAAGGGTCCTAAAACACCGAGCTGCTACCAATCGACAGTGAGCCGTGGTTTTCAAGTCATAACTCACCGTGACTCCTAGATCATTGTGGGTCAGTACTGACGGTAGAGTAGTCACACCAATATCGTAGGTCTTTTTTGTGTGTGTGTGTGTGTGTGTGCCCCGAGTGCATGCTCACACATTTATCTGCACTGATAGGCATCAGCCACTTCTCTGACCGGGTAAACAAGCTGTTCAGATCTGCTTGAAGCGCACGTATATCCCCATCGTTCCTAATTTCCCGTTAGATTTTTACATCTTCAGCGTAGCGAACCACAGGAGATTTCATGATATTTGGCAGCTCATTTACCTATAGGAGAAACAGTAGGAGGCTCAGAACTGTGCCGACTTCCGACTTCCAAGTGAAGAGTTGCGAATTGATCCTAACTCTTTGTCTTCTACCAACAAGAAAGTTTCTTATCCATGCGAGCAGAGTGCCAGTGATTCCAAAACTTCTCAGTTTCCTGAGCAACCTGGAATGGGGTACTTTGTCGAACGCCTTACTAAAGTCAATGAAAATGACATCTACAGGTATTCTATCATATTTAGACTTCACCCAACTTTCTCTGACTGTAAGGAGGTTCGTCAGGTGTAAGAGTACTTTGCAGCTGAGTGACTAACTTTTTTTCTAAAGTGCACTCAAACTCAGTGTGGTATTTTTTGTATATCTGGTTCGCTTAATAACGACTGTCTGCTGAAAAAAGATCTCAGAAGTAGTCGAGATGATAACTAATTTCTGATATGTTCGGCTTACTTATTTGAATAGCTGACTGACTGATAAAACCAACGTAGAACCTTGTACACAGGTGCATCGGCTCAACTTGCCACGCTTCATAGTAGCACACAAGGAACAGTTGGATAGGAAAGGAATGATAGCAAGGTAGACAAAGTTGTGTGAGAGAATTAGCGATCTGAAGGTTAGTATAAATATTCAAGCTTTAGATGTCAAGGATTGAATACATCTGTCCTATTGTGACCGATTTCCAGCCATGTTACTAAGTGTCCTTTCTTTTCGACGACCAAAACCAGATAGTCTACATCTCCCCACACGGCTCAGACCAATTAATAGACCAGTGCTAGGTCTTGATTTGTGCACTCTGAACCGTCTCCCAACCTAATTCAACTCCCCCTAACATAACGCGTCAATGTAGGCGGAAGATCGACATATGCAACACAGACCAAAACCATCTCAATCAATGAAGGTTTACAAACTCCTCAATTGACCTGCATGTCTTGCCTAGTATCCTCCGTCTGACTTCAACATTGCTCACATGGTGATCCCATTAAGCCTGAGCAATACTACGAATACACATTATCAAAACTCTTCAACGGCTCATGTGCTCTACTTTTAACGTGCACGTCTCATAGCTGTACAGCAGGACAGAACGGAATGCAGTGCAGTATAATCGTCCTTTGATCGATAGTCGGATGCCTTACCAGCGCCACAGATGATGCAAGTTGACAGGTGCGAAACAGGCCTTCTGTATCCATGCTGATATTTCGTCAGTAGCCAGGCCGTTTAGGGTGCTGAAACTCCTCAAGTAGATGAAGTGGTCGACATATTCCACCACTTCACTCCCTATCATTAAGCTGGAAGTCGTTGAAGACCAGTTCTGGAGCTACATTTTACATTTGATAGGTGCGAAACGTATGCCGTGCATATGCAGATTTCTCCTCAAAGCTTTGGAAATATTCTGCATTTTGTTAGCGTCTTCGCCTAGCAGGACAACATCGTCTGTATATTCCGAGACAATCATATGACCTCCAGAGCAGGTCAATCCCCGTGAAGTCACATGAACACAGGATTGTGTCCATTAGTATGCTTTTGACGAAGTTAAATAGGAACAGTGACAGTTGACATCCCTGCCAGACAGCCTTGGTTGTAGTCAACTCTTCATTGGCCCTTACACGGGTGCGTGAGTTCGAGTAGATAGTTTTGCTAAGTGTTATCTACTTTTTCGGTACTCGCTTCATAGTCAGACACTGCGACAACACCTCACGATCGATAGAGTCAGATGCCTTTTTCAGGTCAACAAGTATGGAAAATGTCGGCCGCCGATGGGTATGCCTGTGTTCCAAAGTATGTCGTAGGAGGAAAATATAACCGATACGACTTCGTCCAGGTCTGGAGCCTGCCTGGTTTTCTCGAGTTTGTTGTTCTCAAGCTCCAGTTCGGCGTTGGATAAGTATGGTCCCCAGGATCTTGGACATAATATTAGTCAAACTAATTCCTTTATGTGAGACATCTAACTCTCAATTATGATTCAAGCTTACCATCTCAAAAGTTCACTCTGTTCTACTATATGCTAAGGATACGTGGTTATTAAGGCTGGAGGAAATGAATAACCTTCCGTTTTTCAGTCACCATCGCATTTGAAACAGTTCACGTGCTGTGGCATCATTCTTTTAATATGGGGGTTAGACGTAGTTTTAGGCTAGAGAGAAAATTTAGTTTACGCGATCATAAACCTTCATCGACTAAGGTGGCTGAGATGTCTTGAGTATGCCTAGTCACCATTTACCCCAATGTGCGTCTGTAGCTGCAAAAAGTATTAGGTTGGGCAAGATTGCCTGTGATCATGCTGAAACATATCATGAGTTTATGAAGTATCTGAATCTTGGTTTGAACTATTTTGGAAAGTATAGATTCTGGATCGAAGTCCTTTCGATAACATAAGAAGATAGTTGGAAACTCCAAGTGTTATTGCTTAAAATCGATCTGTCGCACGGATGTACTTACATTTTATTTGATATATCATTTTTTTGGTTACTCTCTCTTTTCTATTCGTTAGGCTTGGTACGACTTCTGCTAACATTTTCTTTCTATATCTCTGTCCTAGTGTGAGGTATGGCAACTTCGAGCGTTACCCAGTAATACCTGGTCGAATGTTGATATTGACCGGTGATTACGAAAAGTACTGACTTGGATATAACTGATAGATGGGAATCACATACTACCTGCTTCCGATTAACTTAATTAGGTTGGAAGTGCAGGTTAACTTGACAGCGTCTATGTGAGACTTGCATGCTTCTGACTATTCTGCTTAAACCTTTCTACTTATTTTTTTGTAATTACGATTTAAAATGGACAATTGTTGTTGTTATTTAACTGCCCAAACATCACGTTAACCAAGTTGAAAGCAGTTAAAAGTTCTTCCCCATATCTCATGCACACTCTATGCTTACTAGCTATTTCATCTGGTGGTGCACCTACATTGTGTTTGTGTACAGTTTTGATAACTAACGTCAGTTTGCATTTGCACAGATGTGGTTATTCCTGTAGCTAATTTCTTCTACATCAAATGGTCAGGATGTTGACTAGGTATCGAATGCGTTTTGAATATTTTTTTTCGGAAGCTGATGCTATTTTCTTTCAATATTTTTAATAATATTCAGCACTCAAAGATGAAAGTTAGGACCTTTTAATCAATACGAGCAATTATTGATACTGAAATGCACATCAGGATTACATGTCATATAAATGTAGGCATAAAGAAAGAAATCAGTCAATAATCCTTCGTTATCTGCAACAAAATATAACATTTGTGATGTAGTACATCGAAAATTCCCATTTGGACATTTAGAAAAAGACTAATTGAACGAAGAAATATTTATTATTATGTTATTATTTTTCCTTTGTGTTCATAGTGGAACATAGGGCTTCAGAAGCACGTCTCCATTGCACTCTGCTCTCTGCAGCCTTTTGAACCTGGCTCCGTGACTGCCAACAAGCTTTCATTTCTTCCTCACACTATCTACTCAATGTCACCCTTGCCTCGAACACCCAACTCGTCGTTTCCCCTTTGGATTCCACTCATGGGCCTGACGCGTGATGTCTCCGAATAGTTTTCTCAGTGTATGCCCAATACAATCCATCTCCACTTTCTTCTGTATATTTGTTGGGCAATGGGTTCTTGGTTGGCTTGTTGCCAGCCAGCCAGCCAGCCAGCCAGCCAGCCAGCCAGCCAGAGTTCCTCCTTGCTTATTCTTATTATTCTGGCCATCTGATCTTCA